GGCAGTACTCAGACCTGTCTAAAGCTGGAGCTAGTCTGTACAGGAGAAGGCAGGGCCTGCTCCTCCAGGAAACATGTGTACCTATTCCACCAACTTTTATGAGGCCCTGGAGTGTTAATATTGGTGACCACCCAACCATCCTACCAACAAATGGTGCGTCCCAAAGGGAGTTGTAGCTAACCTCTTAATGTGAAACAGCATACAAAGAGATGAGCTAAGAGGTAGGGTATGTTTCCACACATTTATCTCTGGTTATTAGACACTTTTAGGGGGAACATCTGTTTGTCCATTCTGGCTCCCAGATTACAGACCCTATTTGAGGACCAGCTTGGTCACTTCTCTGACTGAATGGGGACTAAGACATAAATTAAAGTCAGAAGGGAGACTTGGAATAGAAAATCAGAGGGCACTTTGCTGATTTCACCAAAGGGTGGAGTTGCCCTCCTCAGCTGTCCATCAGTCAAGTGAAAAGAGGGAAAAAAATATGGAAACATTTTCAGAATCACCTGGTGATGCCCAAGCCAGACGGATCTGTTCAATGCGGTATCATCCTGGAGACAGTGCCACTAGTCTTAAAGCAGATCTGGGAGGCAAACCAGAATGTGCAGACTAATTGCACTTCCAAAGTTGCCGGGACCTAGGCTGGGCTTCACAATTTGATCTCTTCTTTTGTTTTAAACTATTGATATTTGGTGTATGGGAAGACTATCTGTGTTCGTAACAAGATTTTCCACATCATCACACAGTATGTTCTTAGGAGATGTACTATTGTCAGGACAATGGGCTAATTAATTAGACGAGGAAATATCTCTTTTCTTGTTAAGTTTCTAGACACACATCACTTTTAGAGTATATTAAAATTCTCCTTTGTTCCTCTTCCTTTTGCCATCATTTCTCTAGGCCATACTTTCAGTCTGTCTGCAAGACATTTCCGTTTGGATCCAGTGCCGCAGGTCGAAAACCGGGTAATCCCGAGGTCCTAATCTAGTGGAAACTGTGAGTCCATGCCTTGCACCACCAGTGCCCTCCTGAACACATCCCTGCTATTCTCATTGATCCCTAATAGTTCTTTTACTTACACGGTTTCAAAATGCCAGAATTCTGGAGTTTGCTTTATTCATTGCCCTGCTTTGAATGCATATGTTAGAAACTCAATCCCCAGGGCAGTAGTATCGAGTGGTTGTGATTTTAAGAGGTGATTACTGAGGAACAGGTGTTGGCGATGCACCAGGTTAAGTCATAACTCAGGATGTTGCGGGTTTCAGTCCTGGCTCCTCTGCTTCTGGTCAACTTCATGCTAATGTACGTGGGATGATGGCTCAAGTGTTTGGGCTCCTGCAACCCACATGGGAGACTAGATAGAGTTCTACCTTCTGGCTTCATCCTGGCTTTGGAGGGCACTTTTGGAGTGAATCAGTGGATGGGATATTGCTCTGCCTTTCAAGTAAATGAAAATAAACAAGCAAACTTTTAAAAAAGATTTAGTTATTTTTATTTTCAAGGTAGATTTACAGAGAGAAGGAGAGACACACAGAGAAAGATCTTCCATCTACTGGTTCATTCCCCAAATGGCAATAACAGCCAGAGATGAGCCAATCCAAAGTTAGTAGCCAGGATCCAGGAACTCTTCTGGGTCTCCTATGTGGGTGCATGGTCCCAAGGACTTGGGCTACCCTGCACTGCCTTCTCAGGCCATGAGCAGGGAGCTGGATCAGAAGTGAAGTAGCTGGGACAGGAACCGATACCCATATGGGGTGGCTGCATTAACAGGTGGAGGATTAGCCTGTTGAGCCATTGCGCTGGCTTCACAAGTAAGCAGTTTAGGAGAGACGATTAGGTAACTAAGCTATTATGATTGGATTAAGGCGATTGTCTCCAGGAGTGGGCTAGTCCTTGAGTGGGGGAGTTTGGCTTGAGCGCCTGTTTCTGTTTTATACACTCTTGTTTTTCTGCCATGTTATGGTGAATGCAAAGACTCTTGCAGGATGTCAGTGTCATGCTGTTAGACTTTCCCACCTTCAGAACTGTAAAATAAACTTCTTTTCTTTTTAAATTTTGCCATTGGTATTTTTCTTTTATAGAAGCAGAAGGCAGAGTAAGATGCTCATTGTCTTCCTTTGTTCTTCTTGACTTTCCTACAACACCTCCAATTCCTGGCTCCAGTGACTCACCAAAACAACGCAAAACAATGCTATTTTTGGACATTTTTAGTAACTTACTTTAATCAATTCTGTCTTCATAATTCTACCTCATGTTTTACCCTTCTTCATCCTTCCCAACCTCTATGGCTTAGACTCAGGCATATCCCATGTCCATTAGAATTGATTATGCATCCCATTAGGTTCATCCTGTTAGAATTCATCATGCATATGTCACCATATCAACATCTGAAATTACAACTCATAACATCCTCTGGGTCAAAAACTTTGATCAGATGCCCTTCTTAAGCAAAGAGAACATTACATTTCATTCTGATGTTCAAACTCTCTGCAATACTGGCAACCCTATCTTTTCACGTCTGTATATCTTTCACTTTTCCATATTTCTTCACTATGTTCCTCCTCTTTGTAGATTGTGCTTTCTCCCTTATTTGCTTATTAAAAATTCATATATCTTCAAGATCCCTTTTAGCCCTTTTCCATAAAAACTTATAGATTGATTATCTTTCCATTTTTAAATCTTCATAGTACTTGGGTTATGACCATCATGAAGCAACACACCCCACCTTTGATAGAGAGATGGACAAATTAGACACCCAGGAACTGTCCTGTTGTGGTCCTCTCTCCCTCTCCTCTGCAGAGCCTTTACACAGGATAGTATAGAGGCATTGGATGACTGCATACTGAACTGAGTTGGCCTCTCTGCCTTCATTATCTCTCTTTGCATAAATTCATTTAAATAATTACCTATTAATAAGAGCATTTTGTTTCTACATGGCACTAAAATTACTAAACTCACATGCAAGCATTATTTCTGATTTCCAAAGCAGACAAGAGATGCTCTCCCTATTACATAAATTAGGGAAATGAGTGTTATGGGAGGGAAATGAATTGCCCAAACTCTAAGCAACAAAACGAACATCACCATTAATTGAACTAAGGTAAGTATTCACAGTAGAAGACCAAAGAAATGAGCAAGCAAAGTCCAAGCCCTCCCAAGGATCCATTAGACTTTATTCAACCATAAGACCTTCAAGTCCAGAGAGGGGTACCTGCTATAAGAATGAGGAGCATGAGCTGGGAAACAGGGCTGGAACTATTATATTATTACATGTTCAGTTTGAGTTTATGATGATTTTTTTCCTACTTTCAGTCCTAGATTCAGATACTATCACATCATGAACCTTGGAGTCTCTCTTCGCCTCAAAATTAAGCCATAATTCCAGACCTCCTTTAAATAAACACTCACTGGATTCATATTACTCTTAGATTGTTAGGGAAACTTGCAGGATTCATAACTAGAGCAACTCGCATTGTGCCCTGGGGCCTGGGCCCATTCCTCCCCTGCCTTATCTCTTACCGTCAGAACTGCTTCCTCATTTTCCTGCTCATCCATCCATCCATCATTATACAACAGACTTTCCTTGAGTAGCAAACCTACATCCTAACATATATCACACATCCCTTTGCTCTTTCTGACTCCTCAGTTCCAGGCATGTATTCTGCCAAGGTATCAACAGGCTATTTGCTGCCTTTTCCAGGCATTTATGTGTTTTAACAGTGACAGTCAATATGAAAATGTGAGCATTTTAAGAAACAACGGTGGTAGTTGAAGGTATCTTTGGATACAAAATGGCTCTTTCTAAAGGATGCTTCTGTAGCAGTTGAGAGAAGGCAGTAACTTCCAATTTCTTATTCCCCAGAGGTCACACGTGTCCTTTGTTCTCCAGTGTTATTAAGAGGAATGTGCTATTGCAGGTCCCAGTCTCCCAAGGGTTAACTCCACAGCTTAGCTGGTTTCTCTAGGTGTAACAGGATGGGCAATCTTGACCTGATGCATTTAGCCCCTGGCTTGACCGCAAGTTCCCTCTTCCCTGCTTCCCCTTTTTTAAAATGCCCCCGGGGGAGCTTAGGAGTTGCTTGAGCATTGGGAAAATACTGGGAGGAACTAGACAGACCATAAAAGAGGCAGGCCAACTTCAAACAAACGGCATTCTCTTTACAAGAATGACCCACTGCATGTTGTCTTTTTTGTAACCCTAGTCCCTCCACTTGGCTAGGGGTACTCGGCGACGCGGGCATTGCCTACATGCTATTAGGTAACTATACTGTTAGTAATGCTGGCTAAAATTGTTTTTGCACAGGCTCTTCTTTGTTTTCCCTTGCAACAGAAGCTCAGCTTGTAGGCTGTGACTGGATGTTGCCAGTATTTAAAATCAGGAGTGAATGCATGCAACAGCAGAAAACCTGGGGTCTTGATGACACTTGAGATTGTTAGATATTACATTTATCAAAATGTGCACTTATGAAAATGTGCAAGTGCATGCATGATTACAGAAATGTTAAGAATTCATGTCCCCATCTCTCATCTCTCTTTGAATGGGTCCCAGCTGAGTTGCAGATAAACTTCTGCATCCTTATTTTTGTGTGATGTTATTGGTCCTTGGGTCCCTTAGCCATCATTTTCCCACTATCTTCAGGCTGAGTGTTTTAGGTTTATCTTAAAACCTAACAGAGAGCCTTGCCTAGCACAGGCTTGTCTTTCTCTAGTTAAGATTTGGTGCAGTACCTGGACAAACAATATGTTCCTTGGGATCAAATTCCATGACAGCCCTTGTGAATGCCTTCTCCTGCGGAAAATTCAGTCCCTGAGCTCAATGATCTCTTTTTATTATTTAGGTAGAAAAATACTTCTTGCCACAAATTCTCCCTTTTTCCTTTTAGCCTATCAATCATTTAAATCACAGCATATGTTCTTCTAGAGTTTTTGAAATGCCAAAACATTTGACTCTATACCTTAATTTGACAGCTTTTCAATAAAATGAGCCACACTGAGTGGTATGATACATAACAAAGAATCCATTTATTTGTTCCCTCTAACCCCCAAATTTGGCAAAACAATACGCACATTTATGTTTGTTAACTTGTAAAAAAAAAAACCAGGTTATTTCCCCAGAGTTCAAAGGTCTTTAGATCTCCAATGGAAGCAGTGAGTGTACTATCCATATGCGTTTTTGCTTGCAGTCAGCTGCCTACCATAGGGCTGGCTCGTTGTATGGTTTTATCAATGCATACAGTTTGAATTTTTCCCTACTAAGTGAAAGTTTAATTGGAAGAGAAGAATACATGAGGGCGCCTTTAAACACTGAAGTTGATAGTGAGTTCTTCTGGAGCAAGCTTTATGTGGGGGCTCATTTCACTGCCTATAGCTGATGGCAGCTTCATCAGTAACTCAACAATATAACTCAGAAACATGTGGCAGCTTTGAATGGACTGGTTAATCAATCTTTTGGACTTGGCAATGAAGTTTTCAGGATAATTAGAGAGCAGGTCTGAAAAATCTTGTAGTTTATATCTGAACTGCTGGTGGTAATCAGAAATGATTTCCTTCATCGCAGTGCCCCAGTTTTTAATTATTTCCTGAGTGACAGAAGAAAGCTCTGCAATCTTCTCTTTCCCTTTTCCATCTGCATCAGTAAGGATGCTGAGATATTCCTGGATATCTCTGCGCATAAATTGCTCAACTTGACTTGAGAGCTGGGAAGCAAAGCCAGCAGCACTGACGGTAAATTTGGAATGCAAGTCCTTAAGGGCAGCTACTAGACTGTGGATCACATTGATAATCTTTTCTTCAAGTTCATAATAGTTCACTGTCCAGCCAGCTAGACTTGGATCAAAATATGTACTGTTGGAACTTCTGTAACTCTTGATAAGCTACCTTAAGTTTGTTTTGAACAAACTCATTGAATTTACTGAGGTTAAGGTATAGATTCTCCTTCAAATATTCACCATTTTTAATAACATTTTGGACGACCATGTTGATTTCATGAAATTTCACATCCTTTAAATGTTTCATTTCTTCTTCTGTATTTTGGAAGCCAGCTTCTAAAATGTCTTGAACATAATTTAGTATCTCTGTAAATGTGGCAGACTGGAGTTTATGAAATGCCTTTTGGATTTCTTGTGATAAATATTCCAAAACTTGTCTACATGTCAGGATTAGATCTGTTAGTTTATAACCCTCTGAATCAAAGGGATATCTAATAATTAGATCCTTGGTTAATTCCGATCTCTCCACTAGGTCTTGGGTATAGGACAACAGCATTTCTAACCCAGTATGGATGCCAGACTGCATCTGGGACAGTACTTTTCCTAGTTTTCTCAAGACCATAGTGTAGAGTTCATCTTTGGTATACATCCCTGCTTTCCTTGGCAGTTGGAATGTGGTGAACTTAAAGAAATCAAAGAATGAGTCAGTCAGATGCTTGGCTGCCTTGTGGTATTCCTGAAAAACCCATACTAAGCTGTCAACCACCTTCTCCTTGAGACTCTGGAAAGTCATTTGGCCTTCCTGAGCCAGGAGCTCCTGGTACAGAGTCTGAGCCTTGTCCTGCCATTCCTGGTAAGTTCTCGTGGTGCTGCTGGCGGCCCTCTGCAACCTCACGTGCATCTCATCAGTCTGTCTCATAGCCTCTTGATAAGCCTGCTCAGCACTGTTGTGCAGACTTCTCCGAAGCCTTAAAGAAGCATCTCTCAGGCTGAGTCCTGTGTGCTCCTGATGGTACTTGTTGACATAATCATGAAAGGCCGTCATGGCTTTGGGCACATTGTCTTGTAGATAGCCTATCAATCTGGAGGCAGCCTCTTTTTCCCAGTGAGCTTCGAGCTGTATTTCTCTATCAACTTGTTTATACTTAAGCTCAGTTTTTAATATGTTGAGTTTTTTATCTGGAGAAGACTAAAGCCAGAAAAAAAAAAAAGATTAAAAGAACATGCTTTCAATTATCCTGATTACAAAATATACTACACTAAAACTTCATTAGCAGTTAAAAGTAAAGATCAGAGAATTTTTCATATTCTGAAGGGTATTTATCTTTCACATGTCAGTGCATGTATTTGCTTTATGGTTAAGTAAGTCCACTGGTGTCCCTTTCCCTTTACCACTCACTACAAAAAGGATAAGATGCATTTGGTGTTTACTCAGTGATACTTAGCACTAAGCCTTCCTAGGCCCAACAGTCTGAAGTGGAGAAAAAGGAAAAAAGAAAAACGTGAAGAAAGAAGTAATAGAAAATGGAGAATTCCAGAGCCCTTTAATCAGGGAACACCAACATCAGTGTTCATTGTTCAAACCTATAAGAAACTTTAGTGATAAAACCAGTCTCTCCATCTCCTCTCCTGGTGATGCTGTCTTTGGTTTGGCCCTGCCAGAACCTATAAACTATTGGAGAGGAATTTCATGTCTTACCTATAGTGAAGAAGAATTTTGGCTGCATCAAATAATGTAGAAGCCACCATTTGAATAATTTACTCTGCATATGGCAGGGTTTGCTCCCGATTTCAGTGATGAGACATTATACTCACCATTCTGAATTTACCCAGAAATAATACAATAGTGCTTATACAAGGTTTTGTGTGTGTGTGTGTGTAACAACTCTATTCAAGAAAGGGCTCATTGTGATACTTTCTAGAAAGCAGTTCCTTGGAAAAGACTTCTTGTCTGCAGTATCTGTTATTTGATCTACAAGCGTTATGAGCAAATACTTTGCCTTGAAGGAAATGTATCCACCCCGCTTCTCTACTAGCACTTAGCAGTATGTGACCTGCTAGATGGGATTCACCTGAGGGAGGAAGTAGAAGTTCCACTTCAAACTATCTTCACCATTTACCAAATCCATGCCTATGGTGCCAACGGCTGGAGAGGCTTCCCAGAAGGAGAGGGTTTTGCCATCTCTTTGGTAGTACATGTGGAAATCAGTGAGTGATGGGCTAGTGACATCTAGGCGACTCTCTCCTTCCCAGTCCCTGGAAACAGAGGAGAAGGCAGAAGGTGAGCCATCCTGAAAAGAGTGTGGAGATGGTAAAATCACGGCTTCTCAAAAGGGGTGAAGAGTCAAAATAAGTCCCATACCAAAGTCCTTTGTACTTGATTCCTTCTTTGTACTCTGCACTGAAGTCACGATGTGCAAATGTTCCTTTGGTCTCACAGATGAACACTCCATCTTCCATTTTGTGTGTTCCCACAACTGTATGGGAGAGATTTTGTATTTTGTTAGATTAACAACCATAAGATGTGAAGACTTTCATTGTTAAAACCAGGAGAATTCCATTATAAGAAAATGCCTTACTTATATTTGAAAACATGTAACATGCAGTTTATATTGTTTTCAATGAACAGGAGAAGTTACTGTCATAAAATCTTTGCAGAAAAATCTGGTTTTTTTGGGGGGGGTCTGTTATTCTTGATTTCAGCAGATTTTTTTGGGTTTGCTTTTTATCTGTGGGTAAATGTGGGAAAGTTTCAGATAATTCATGCAAAATGTGTATCTTAGAAACAGCTATTCTCAGATTTCAATTTTTGGGGGTACTGAAGTAAACTTCTTTTAATTCTACTTTCCATGAATGTTTTGAAGTACTTTTGTACATATTTTTGTCTCCTTTATATATGACTGTAGGGAGTAATTGTGCCTCTGGTCATAACTCATTATTCACATGTAATTATTTACTCACAATTATTAGAAACATGTGGTGTCTAAAAGAGGAGGTATGGCATCTCCTTACCATTGAGGTCATATTCCAGGAACTGGATGGTTGAACTGCATGTGGAGTCCAGGAATGTTTCAACATGGTCTTCCTTGTTTTTCAAACCAGCACTCCAAGTGGCATTATACAGGGGAGAGGCCAACCCAAATTGTGTAGTCAGTGTGCCAAAGAAAGGAATGAAAATTCCAGCAGGTACAGACAATTTGGTGGAAGGAATCTGAATAGTCTGCTCAGGCACGGTGATGGAAGGTAGCTCAAACTCTGCAATCTTGTTGACTACCTCATTTAAATTCAAAACAGTGCTGCCAACTGGAATACTGTTTGGAAAAGTGAGCTGGGACACAGTTACCTGAAATTCAGGAACAGTTATCTCAAAAAAGGGAACTGAGGCATCTTGTGGTCCAGAATAATTTGTTAACACATCAACTTCAGATAATTTCATGCTGGGTAATATTGGTAGGTTGAGGGCAAATGGTGAAGTACTAATCTTCTTATAGATCTTTATTTCATTGAAGTCAAGTTTGTAGGATGGAACCAGAAGATCTGTAAATGGGACTTGGAACATAGGTGTGACAAGAACTGAGTTTAGATCATTTAGTTTCAGCCAAGGGATGATGAATTTATCTGCCAATTCTTGCACAGGAAGAGAGAAAACATAGCCATTGGGGTTCTTGGTGTATACAAGGGCAGTTGAGGCACGAAGATATTGTCTTCTGTTGGTACTAGTGGTTACATCCAGCTTCATGAGGTCCCATAAACTCTTGTCATAAACTGGCAGGATGAAATTTTTGAGGAATGCTAAGTGTCCTTCTAATGACCCTGCAATGTCAAGACGTGCCTCTTCTGGGTTGTTGGAAAGCTGTACTTTGTTTTGAAGAGAGCCCAAATTAAACTGGACCTCACTTTTCCAATTGAGCTGTTGATTCTTAAAATTAGCATTCAGGGCCACATCCTGGCCAAAGTAAGGGATATCAAGGAGATGGTTGGGCTGATTTCCTCGGACCTGAACAAGAGCTGACATTGTCCATGGTGAGAGTTCTAAGGTGGCTTTGCTCGTTTGTTCTCCGTGTGTATAAAAGAAATACTCTAGCTGTAAACTGTTTTTGGCATTGTGTTCCCACATGGCATAGATGCGTTGGAAAGTGGCTTCTCCAGCAAAATTCTCTTTTACTTCAAGGTTCCAGATATCATCCAATCTGGAAGCCCCTTGAAGTTTCACTGAAGACCGGGTGCCCTTGGGATTTAAATAAGCGCTGGCCTCACTGGCAACAGTTCCTGAATATTCCCGTGAAAAGACTGAGCCCTTGATATCTCCACCAGTAGATGACTCAATGGAAAAGTAAGAGGTGAGGCTTTCTAGGTTGAGTTTGTGCTTCACTGCCCCTTTAGCAGTAGAGTGGAGTTTTGTGGAATTGAAATCATACTTTAATTCAATGGATGAAGAGACAGTAGGTTTTGATTTGGTGTTTCCAATGAGTTCTTGCTTGAAATTCATCCTCAAAATGGGAATGTGGACATCTGCAGATGTTGCCAGTGAGACATCCATGCTTTTCTTGGTTAAGCTGATAGTACTGTCATGAGTGCCTCCCAGAAATTTGTTATTCAGAGACAGAGCTGTGGCTAACTTCAACCCTCTTTTTCTTGTCAAACTTGACGTGCCCTCTAACTTGTACTGTAATGCCTCAATGACGGAGGAAGAAGAGGAAAGGAAATGAGCAACAATGTCTGATTGGTTATAAAGTCCAGCATTGGTATTCAATGTAATAACTGTTGATTTAAAAGAAAAATCATAGGTAATATTGCCCATGGCTGGAATAAAAATGTTGTTAATGGTCTTCAATTCCTCAAAATCTGGAAGAGAAATCTTGAGTAGATTCCTGGGGATATGAAGGACTGGCAGCTCTATGGATGGCAGGGTCAAAGTATACGAAGGCACATTGAAACCCAAGTCCAGGATGGTGATCTTGGAGGTGCTGATGGCCTGTGGGATCAGATGGCTGAATGCTGACATCTGTACTATGAATGGTGATACTTCTATGTTGACAATTGGAATGGTGTATCCAGGAGTTTGGAAGGTCCTGGGGACTCTGTTGAGAGAGTTTTCCACTTTATACTTATCAAACTTAAGTTTTGTTTCATTATAGGATCTGGTGAGAAAATCTAATGCATCATTTCCGCTGTTCTCTATATGCCTGCCAAAGGAATTGATGTTCTGACTGATAAACTTGTAAAATGCACCCAACGGAATTGCAATGGAGTGCTTCTCCTTGTTTTTCTTATATTTAGCCTTTACACTTAAGTCGAATGATTGCTTTGTTGTTTTCAAGAATTCCTTCAAGCCTGTTTGTTCCCATAAGGAGTAATCTCTCAGCGGGGGAGTAGTAAGTGTTGTATAAGGTATATTCATTTCAGGAATTGTTAAAGGAATATTTAAGAAATCCAGATTGGCATCTCCATTTATTCCTATGTAGACCTCAAGGCTGTTCTCATTGTTTCCAGCAGAGAAATTATGATTGTATTTATATTGGTTGAACCTGGCACTTGCCTGCCAGCTTGCTTGCTGGGCATGAGCACTCAGAAGCAGTGCATAGTTATTCAGGAAGTCTATTTTACCTGTTAATTTTAATGGAAAACCGACTTTCAAATTCCCTTCATTGTTCATGGATGCAGTAATCTCAAATGGCTGTGCTAAAATAGAGAGAGAATTCTTCAAAATTCCGCTGACTTTTCCATTTAAATGAGCAACATGGTTGCCACTCATCTCTGCCTTCCCTTCTTCAAGCAGTGCTGTGCCTTTGGCGGTTAAAATGCTGTGGCCCAAATACTGAGATTCAATTTGTGACTGAATTTCAAATTTAGAGAAGTTGAAAAGGCCAGAATTATAAGCCACATTTTGGTTTACTTTTAGTAATTTGCTGTTAATCTTATTGGACAATCCAAAGGAAGTGATGGGTCCTGTCATGGTGAAGCTGATTTGTGATTCATGTGTTCCCTCATCTGAGAATTTGGGGCAGGCCCATTTCCATGTGCCTGTTCCAGAAGAAGTCCAGGTCATGTATCCAGCTTCCAAGAGTGTCTTGATCTCATTCCGCAGGTCAGCCTGACTAGAGAAGTCCAGATTAGGGATGCTCAGTGTATGGGAGTAGTTTGTGCTGCTCTCCAGAGCAAGCTGAGTATTCATCTTGACTATCACAGCATTGTGAAGCTCCAGTGTATTTCCTTCTGTGTGCAGACTTGCCATTGTGTCTGACTTTCCCTCAATAGCATTTCCAAAAATTAGCAGTTCACTCTCATGTTGTGTTCTCAGGTACTTGCTGGAGAACTTCATGGATTCCTTTAGAACCCGAGGATTAATCTTAGAGTCAGAGAGTTGTGCATTTGCTTGAAAATCGAAATTGAGGACTTCTAATCTGGATTCTCCTTTAGCAGCAACTGAAGCTGTGAACACTGCTTTTTCTGCTGAAGCAGTTCCATTTTTTATGTCAGCATTTGCATCTAATGTGAGAAGTGGAGACTGGATTTTCAAGCCACTATATAGCTTGCCAAAAGTAGGCACTTTGATGGTGTTTGAGAAGTGGGGAAGCTTGAATTCTGGAATGTGAAGGTCAGGAACTTGAAGATCTTTAAGGCTGAGATTTGGCAGTGTGAATTCTGGAACTGTGATTTCTGGTAAATGGAAATCTGGCAGAGTGATTCCAGCAAGAATTGAGTCCAGTTTCAGATCCTTCAGATATACTTCTGGAATTGGCCACTGCAGCTCACTGGTCAGCATTTGATCAATGGTTCTGATGATCTTCACTTTTATCTCTGCTAAGTCAATTGTAAATGAAGGGATGTGGAAGGTGTTGAGTATTGTGAATTCTGGTGTAGAAAACCTGGAAGGGACTTTTATGTCTTTCAGCTCTTTGAAATTTATTTGAACAGATGGAATCCTCAAATCTGTGAACGGAACTATGAATTCAGGAGTGTGGAAGGTAGCTTCCTGCAGGGCACGGAGACTGACCTCAAAGGCAGGCATCGTCCCCAGGGGGGTCTGGATTTCAGGAACAGTGAACCCCTGTTCCACCAAGGCTTTCAAGTTTTCAGCCCAGTCTTGGATGGAATACTGCTCTGCCAAGTCAGTAAGGTTCTTAGCAGCAAGCCTCCACCAGTCAGAAATGTAGGTGACAAGAGTACTGTAAGCTTGGCTTGTTAGAGACAAGTACCTCATTAGTTCCTGCTGCATGTCCATTTGATAAACTCGGTCTCGTATGTCTTCCAGGGTCTCTACGAATTTAGCTTTCACATGAATCAAAGATACGGAATTTAAAGCATCCTGTAACCAGTCAATGGCTAAGGTTACTTTAGTGTCCTTTAGCTTTTCCAGACAGTCCAAGACCATTGCCTTGACATCTTCCACAAACAGTTTCAGTGCTTCTGCTTTCTGGGCTAGTTCCAGAGCCTGAATTGCATGGTTTATTTTGTGAGTCACTTCTCGAATTTTGTTATTGGTTTCATCTACAAACTGGTGGTAATCAAATGATTTTAATTTCTTCACCAGCAAGTCAAGGAATCTGTTTACTTCTTCAATTAATTTTTCAAAAGTCAATGCTTTAAGCTGTATGACAGCATCATCCATAAACCCAACCAACTTCTCAAAGTAATCTTGTATCTCTACTCCTTGTAAGACATTGCTTAGTTTCTGAATAGTCTCGTTCAACTTGTATTGGTGGGCCAGCTCCACCAATCTATCTACTATTTCTTTGATTTGTTGGTTTACTTCATATTTCTTAATCAACTCAAGAACTGTCGCTCTCAAAGCCTTGACATTTTCAGTTATTTCAAAATTTTCAATAAGATTTATAACAAAATATTTGACATATTCAATAATGTCCCTTATTTTGTGAAATGGAATTGTAGTTCTCAATTGAGCTAAAAGCACTGTGACATCAAGAGCTTCAATCTGTTGTTTCAGTTTCCCAGCCAGATGTGGGATGTCTACATTCTGAATCTGTGTTTCAAGCTGTTGCAATGTTTCTTGTATCCAGATTCTGATTTGATACTTGGTATCCACATTTTGAATCCAAGATGCAGCACTGCTTTCAGTTTTGTTAAGATCAATATTTTCAATGAGCAAGTACAGATTGTGGATTGATTTAACTAAATATACACGTAAATGATAATGTTCATCAAGAATTTTTAATTTTTCAATGATTTGATCTATAATCTTAGCTATAGCTATTTTAAAATCACGTAGATCATAATTATCTTTAATATACTGATCAAATTGTATCACGTATGTCTGCAATTGAGACAGTTTTTCATTTAAGTTGATTTTAGCATTATCCAATGCACTTTGTAGATCATGATCTGTAAGTTTATAATTTTTTGTGAAGGCAGTTAGCTTTTCCTTGGCACTTAAAACTTGTTTCTCCCAATTGAGTGCATTCAGATAGTCATTAGCTTGCTGTGGGAGTTTGCCCAGGGTTGCTCTATAGCTCCTCACAAACTGATCAACATTGATGCCTTTCAGTTCTCTCTGTATGGTTTCCAGTGCTGTAACCAACAGCATGCGATTCCTCTCAAAGTATTCCAGCAGGCTATTCAAGAAAGGGAGGTTGATAGTATGGACATCTTGGTTCTTATCATACTTTATAAAATATACAATTGTGAATTCTTGGGGCTGGTCAATAGCATGTCTCAGCTCTAAGGCATCAATAACGTTGATGGGCTCCCTGAGTAGAAGTGGCACTTCAATTGGGTAGTCTAGCATCATCAGGTCAACCAGAGCTCCTCCTTTAAGCTCCACACCGATTTTGTCTTTGTTGTTGTAAGCCTCAAAGTCCTGGCTGTACTCATTGTTGTTTATTTGAGTCCTAAGTTTCCAGGTGCCTTTCTGCTCAGCTGGAGAAAGCAGGGCATTGACTTTGTGGTCAAAGGTGGTACTGACAATTCCCCTGGTCAAGAGATGATGCCTTAAAGATCCTTGGTAGTCATGAGAGAAAGTGAAAGCCAGAGGTTCTGCTTTCAACACGAACTTGCTATATAGCTTTCCAATATGCTCTCCCCATAGAACCAGTTTCCCATTGCCATTTGTAAGTGAATCAATGGTTAAGCTAAATGGGCCCATTACAGAGCGGAAAATGTTGTTGAAATGGAGGGACTCTGAATTATAATTTGTACTGATGTCAACAGATGAAACCAGCCAACCAATGTCTGTGTTGATCCGATGGTTAAATCTCACATCCTGAACTTTTGCCACAGTTTCTGCTTTATAACTCGCAGACAAGTCAGCGTAAGAAATGATGTAGCCGTGTTTGATCTCGTCATTGTGGTAGACTCCCTTTAGGTCACCAGCCATGTTCAGCTTCAGGGGTTCCAGCCGTAACTTCCCACTGCTGGTCAGACCAAAAGCACTGTATTTCAAGTCACTGTTTAAGGTAGTTACAAGAGAATAGGGCTGCAGCTGGAAATTGAAATTTTGTTTATAGAACTTGTCAGAACTATAAATGTTGTCAGCTTTTGAAGATAAATCCAGTGATAAGCCTGCAATGTTCAGATTATTTGTGTAGTCAAATTTCATTCCAGCATAGGAACCCATCATGTCATTGGAAAGCTTAAGTCCCTCTTGACTGATTTTGAAATTGAAAACATTCTTGCTGTCGGCACCCAGAATCATGGCCTGATACGCACTTCCCAGGGATACTTCTGTCAGGGAGGCTTTCCCGTCCAGGCTGAATTTTGCATTGTGTTCCTTGAAGCGGCCATTTGTTATTAACTTCCCAGATGCTCCTGAGAGGGCAAGTTCTGCATTCAGCTCACTCTCCAGCATCAGGGGACTGTACCTCAGACTGGTCGTTGCACTGGTAGATATTCCATTTTGGCCAATCCTTAATGTTGCCTTGTGAGCAGCAGTATTAATTTTGTCAGTGCCCAATATATCTGCATTTAATTCAAGAACATGGGAGTTCAGCAATCCAGAAAGCAGGGCGAAGAACCGCAGGGACTTGTAATCGGCCTGATACTCAGCACGTAGCAATGCATTTTCTTTTGATAAAATCAGATCCAATTTATTGGAAGTGGCAAAGTCCTCATACTTGCCATTGGCATCAGATTTCAGAGTTAACTCGTAGTTTTCATATTTCAGAGAAGCACTGTTTTTGAAGATGCCCCCTTGAAGATCAGAAGTGGAGGTGAGAGAGAGGGCTCCATCTTCATACCTTCCTATTATCTGGTTGGTGCCCTCAAAGTAGGAGGAGTTGAACTTCAAATTGGACTCTCCACTCAGCCAGCCAGTGGTCAAATCCTTCCGACAAGACAAGCCATACATGCCTTTGGCATAAAACGAAGAGGCTCTGAATTGCCCGTCCATTTTGACTTCTCGGATGTATAAATGCTGTTTCTTCTTTGAGTCCAAGTAGATCGAGGCAGACATTTGTGGTCCCAAGGCACTGGATGCATCAAATGTTAGGAAACCTTTCGAGGCTGGGTTGCCTCCCACTTTTTCTACGTGACTGAATTTGAAGTTGGAATGCAGAAATTTGTGGCGTAGAGCTCCGTCACATGATAATGTAAATGTATTCCTATGGTCATACGTTGTTTCTCCAGAACCTAATATAAAAATCAAAGACACACTGCTTAACTTAGGTAAGAAACCCCAAGAACTAGCATCATCTTGAAGAATATTTCATTAACAAAGACACATTTATCTGGGTCAGTTGTGCAAGAATCTTCTTTGCCTATAATGGTAAATGTAAAATGAGTTAAAGACATTCCTCCAGGAAGCCTTCCCAGACCACAGGGGATGTTTTTGGGCTCCCTGATCACATTTTCCCATGTACCTTACACTTGACTATACCATCTTTCATACTGAACCATGACTGATTGTTTGTCTGTCTGCTTTCCTTTATTTTTGAAAAAAAAAACCCACCACCAGTTATTTACCAAATGAATAGATAGACACAATTGTACATATTTTGGGGATACTGTGTGACATTTTGATATATGTATGCATTATAAAGTGTCTAATAGGGTAAAAAGATCGTTCTCCCTACACATTTACATTTCTTTGTGGCAAAAATATTCACAATCCTATCTTTGTTTCTTTCTAGTAGCATTTTTACTGTTTATGCTTAAGAAAATTCTCTGTTAGTTGGATGGATGAGAAGATTTCCAAGGAACAAAGGAACTACCAGTAGGAAAGCCAAGTTCTTTCCTCCATAGAAGAGCTCTTCCATTAGAGCCTATAGCAAATGAGTCTTGTATACCCTTTGCATGGCTCACCTTGCACACTGTAGGAAAACAGATCAACAACAGAGTCAGCCTTCACATGGTACCGAGCCTGAAGGCGAAAGTGTTCCGCACTGGTATTTCCACCCGTGTAGCTGGCAGACCAGTTGTACACATTGCTGTAGATATTTGTGGAGAGGTCTAGAACACCGAGGAGAGGCACTCGAAGTTGATACAACTTGGGAATGGTAAAAGTGGGGACTTGAAACTCCTTAGGTGGCAGATAGAATCCCACAGGATGGAAGTTGAGGGCTGGTGTCCTTATGGTCTCCAACATCTTTAGATCTTTGGAGGATTTGCCACCAAGAGGCAAAGGAATATCAATTATCATGACGTTCTTGTTCAAGGTGTATTTGACCCGGCCGTCACTGAAATGAGAAACAAACACAGTGTCCCTAGTCAGACATCAGGAATACAGAACTCTGTACTCTTCCATTTGATTTTCTAAGCAGTGCTGTTAACTGCCCAGTTCTAGAATCCAGTCTACACACTTCCTCCTGCTACTTCGTTGGCCTGAATCCCCTTGCTTTTATATCTACCTGTCAAACACTCAAACCATTTCAAAAGTCCTAGCTGACTTCTGTTCTCAGAGTGAGAGTCCTTTCCAGCTATTTCAAGGAATATGTCACCACTTTGGTTATGTAATTAGTTATTTGTTCATTTGTTGCTGTCTTCTGGAATGAAGGACCTCATCTTATTCAGTTTCTGTCTTCATATGGCAATTAATTTCATATTTTACACAGAAGGGAAGCTTGATACATGACTGCTAAACTGAACTAAAATTGCTCGAAACACGGAAAGGACACAGATGTGAAAGTCAGGAAACTTGAGTTATGGTTTTAGCTTCCATTAATTGATGGTATTATCTTAGTGACCTGCTCTCCTCTCACTGATTGTATCTGACACAGTAGGTTAAATAGCATCCTCTTGCTGACTTCAGAGATGGCCTTGGATATCAAGTGGGAAAAAATAGCTTCAAACATATTGCAACCTTTTTGGTATCACACACACATAACAGACCATTACAATAACTTGTAAAGCTGGCATGCAGGGTGTAACAGATAGTATCAAATGAGTTATTTATTGTATGCTCAAAGGTGATTGAAGGTTGCCTGTACAGCATCCTGATGGTAGGAGGAAGATGGAAAACCAGCACCAGGGTAAGGAAAGTCCTGTGTCCTCTGAAGCTGCCATACCAGTGCCTGGGCAGAAATCAGGCATTTCATCATCATCTGGCCTTTGAAATGTTGCTGCCCAGTTACTGACTATGGAGAGACAATGAACACAGGGACACAGGCCATAAGTTGCCTTTACCCTGAGGATAACACAGAATAGTATCTAGGAAAGGTAGCAATCTTTTGATCTCATGCTTTTAAAGAACATTTTTTCATTAAGTAAAACAATAAAAGCAGCATCTGTATTTTTGTAAATACAGAAATGGACCCAATAGTTTGAAATATGATTTCCCTGTAAGGAGTAAGCTGTATTGCTCTGCTGATATGCTCTGTCAAATGCTGCCTTTATTCAGTGCTCAAGGGCTTTAGTGACTCAACATCAAGCCACTAGCCAGTGGTCTTCTGGCTACTCTCAAATTCTTCCCACACAAGTATGGGTGTATCTAGAACTAGAAAATGGGGGAGGAAGGGCGTTTATTTACATAAAAAACTTCATGGCTCATGAAGGATCTCCAATTTCTTCTTTTACCTTTTTAAGAAGAGGTTTTCTGGGATATGAAAGTCTGGCAATCCCAGTTTCTGGAGGTTCAATTCCTGGAGGGCACTGAGGTGATACTGCAAAGTCTGGGCATAAGGAAGACTCTGGGATGCCTTTTGAAGCCAGGTGTTTGTAGCCTGCAAAATGATTTAACAAAAGATTTTAAGAGTAACTGGCATGGTTGAGCCTCAAAGCACAATTGACATTAGGTGCTGATGCAGCTTTGGCAAGCCAGTCATTCAGTAGGATAATGCACCGGAAGTTAAGAATAAGTCACGGAAATTACTCTCTTGGTTGTCAGTCACTCATGTCCTCCTTTATATTACAAAGGAGATATATAGCATAGCCAAACTCCAATCAGTGCCCTGAAGCTTCCTTTGATTTGTTTAGGCACAACCAGCTCTTCACAGCTTTGTGTAGTTGGGTAACTACATATGCATGAAACTTTTCCCTCAACCCCAGGAACTCCCTGGGAGCAGAGAGCAGGAATTGCACATCTTTGGATATCTCCCACACCTGACTCAGAGTTGAGGGGGTCATGAGCACTCAGAATCATGCATTTATTTTGCTGGCTTATTTATACTTACACGTATTAATTTGGAACCCACGTGCCGGAAGGTCATGTCTGTTTGAGGAACTCTGTAATCCAAAAGACTATTGGCATACACACGCAAACTGCTAGGATAATCAGACAGATCTACAGGGAAATTGGAAGCCAATTTTTTGGTGTCCACATTGGTGCCAGCATTCCATTCAAATTCAATCTTTTCATTATCTGAAAACAAACATATGAAATGGTTGTCACTGGTACCAGCTCAGTTCATGAGCTATGGCTCTCACGGTCTGCACTTCAGCTCACAGTGCCCTTGAGACTACGGCCATGGAGGAAGAGAGGCATACCGTAGCGCCATGCCACCCTCTTGGAAAGTGTTGAGCCATAAGCAGTAGCAGATGAGTCCATCTGGAGGAGCAGTTTTGCTTGAGACCAGTGGGTGAGGATCTCACTTCTGGCTTCTGCTTGTAGGCGCGGTATGGAAATGACACCTTTGATTTTGCCTTCTCCCCTCATATCACAACTATTGAAAAGAAAAATGACATCAATGATTTTTTCTTTCTGCATCCCAAGGAGATATACAGAATTTCAACAGTTAGTAATTGCATTTCTGGTGACAAAAATCAGGTATGTCAATGGAACCAAGTAATAAGCATAGATAAAGCAAACTTACTAAGTTCCAAAGCCAACTTTCAGCACACATTTATGACTCTTCAGTGAGAAATATGGGGAAAGAGATGCTTTTTGAAAGTTGTTTGAATCCTACTCTGCCATTTACGTGCTCTGTGGTCTCAGAAAACTGATGAAGCCTTCTCAGCTGTCATTTCCTTATATCTAAAACAGGGATTTCATACATACCTTGCAGCTTATTGGTAACCCTGAGATAATTTCTTTGAAGCACCCAGCACAAAAGCACAATACATAAATAATAAGTGCCTAATAAATGGCAGGAAAATTCAACTGGACATATGCAGAGAATCGAGATTTTGAGAGCTGTTTTTGGGTTGTAGATAAAGAGCGTACCTGGCTTGGTCACCTTGAAATTGGAAGAGGAAGAAGGGACAGTGCACCAGATGCAGCAGCTCAGGGCAGATCACCTGATGCCTTCCTTACCTCATGTGGCCCATGAGGGTGACCTCAGTGATTTTCTTGTTCTGAAAGTCCAAGGTGAGTTTGTAGGATTTTTTGTCCTTCTCAGACTCATTGTTAAGTCTGAGGATTGTCCCAAGGTCAACGTTAAAATCTGGAATTTGGATGGCACTGGACAAAGTCCTACTTTGCCGGTAGTATTTGAACATCATGATAGCCTCAGTCGGCTTCACACCTGTGACCGTGTACAAGAGAATAAAGAAATATGTGAAGAATTTATGGTTAGGAGGGACAGAGAAGAGGCCCAACAACCCACAGTCTTCAATATGCTGAAACAAGGGCACAGTTCAGGAATGGCAGATAGATTTATATTTTTTAGATCAGATCTCATTCAGTCTGCAGATATTTATTGATTACCTATTAAGTCCTGGGAACTGCTCCTTTTTCTGCTGCTGGGGATGATATGGTCAGTAAGCAAGTAAACTAATTATGTCTGATGGTAATAGATGTTATGATAAAGGGTAGAGAGGTGGGAGAAAGGGATGCCTCACATGTGGTGGTTAGAGAAGTTCTTTCTACTAAAGGGATTTGTGGGCAGAGGCCAGAATAAAGAAAGGCTGGTGACTGGAGTTGTAGTGCAGTGGGAAAACCTACTGCCTGAGGTGCTAGAATCCTATATGGGCACTGGTTCATGTCCTGGCTGCTCCACATCTGATACAGCTCCCAGCTCCCTGCTGATGGTTTGGTGTAAAGCAAAGGAAGATGGCCCAAGTGTCTGGGACCCTACCACCTACATGTGAGACCTGGGTAAAGGTCCTGGCTTCTGACTTTGGCCTGGCCCAGCACCGACTGTTGTAGCCAGCTAGGGAGTTAACCAGCAGATTAAACACACTTCTTTCTGTCCCTTTCTGTGTAACTCTTTAAAAAAATCCTTTTTTTATTTAAAGAAAGGCTGAGCTATGCTGAGTTCTGGGGAAGAATATTCCAGATAGAGGGTAAGGAATGCAGAGGCCCTGAGTGGGGAGACTACTCAGTGTGGTTGGAGTACTTCCGGGTCAGGCAGACATGTCATCTCCGTGTCACTCCTTGCCCAGCCCTGGGCTTCCTCTTCCCCAAATCCCCCCCTTTTTTTGTAACAAGATTCATCGGCTTCTTTCCATTCCATGTTTGCCCATTTATCATATCTTTTCCTATGTTCCTTTTACAAAACAGTGTTTTCCCAGTGTGTACTCTTACCCTCCAATGCTTTTTTGTAGTGTTCCTCCCTGGCTTCGTTTTGTGATATAGTATACCCACATTAAAAAAAAAAATTCCAAAGCCAACCCCTAAATGTATTGCATCCCCTAAAACATGTTTATTCAGTAACATTTTCTATCTTAGTAAATTCAAATCCCATTTTTCTCATTTCTTTAGACTAAAATCTTACTTGTGATGGTGGTTTCTTTGTTCCTGACATTCAGCATCTACTGCATTAGCAAATCTTGTTAGATCCATCTTAAACGTTGGCCAGCATCTGATCATTCCTCTGATCTCCTTTGCCACTACTGCAACATGGAGCACCCTACCACCTCCTCCCTGGATTATTGCAATAACTTACATACTAGTTTCTTTGCCCTTGTCTTCCAAGATTTTTTTTTTTCACAATATGAAAAGTCATATAAAATCATGAGAAATCTTTAATGCCTTCTTATTTTATTCATATGCAAATCCAAAATTCTTATTATGGCCTGCAAAACTATGTTTCTCCCACCTTCTGTTATCTCTCTGACCCCATCTTCTACTGCTTTTCTCCCCTCTCTCTGCCTTAGCCATATTGGCTTCCTGTCTTTTCCTCAAGCTTAGCAGCCATTTGGCAGCCACAGGGACTTCGCACCTGCTGCTTCCTCTGCCTAAAACACTCTTGTCACATGATTTTTCTCCCTTCTGCTCCCTTTACCACCAAGGCTGTTCTTTATGCACAACAACATTGCCATCCCCCATCCCTCCTCCTGTCAGTCCTTTCTGTGTCTGGCTTTTCTCCTCAGAACTCTCTGCCACCTTGAGCCTTTCCTTCTTTGTTTACTATAACCTCGATGAGGACAGAGACTTTGTTGCTCCACTGTTGTAACATGAGTTCTTAAATAGGTCTGGCCTTTATTGGACATCCAGTTAATATTAAACATGTTAAATTCAGTATGTGCTCCTTGTGAATACTGAACCTGAGACTGAAGGCTGAGACAGAGCAGCCCTTCTAAGATACTTGCCTTCTGCCTGAGTTACAAATGTCAGTGTATCCACCAAAGCGGCGTCATCTCCCTTGAGTTCATACGTTGCACTGGCAGAATACTGCTCTACTTCTCCAGTAGGTGCCAATTCCAGCTCAAATCTAAAAATGTCACAGGGCATACAGTGTACAATGTTAGAGGTTTCAAAGATGTTGATGATGTCTGCAAAACAATTCAGTCTCAGGTGCAACAAAACATGGTCATTCTGTTAACACCGACTCTTGCCCTTACTTGATGATCATCTATTGTGAGTTCCACAGTCACCCCATCTTCCCCCTGCTTCCACACACCCAAAAACTCAAGGTAAGGGCAGACCCTAAGATCCCCAGGGGTTTTGAGGTACCCAGAGCAGGGGCTGGTTGGGTGTGTCCGCAAAGCTGAGAGCAAGCGGTGATAGTGGAGGGCTGAACCTAGAGAGCCCTGAAGCACCATGAAGGCTTTGAGTACTCCAGTCAGCTTCACAAAGATTGCATAATTGTGAGTGGAGGATCAGAAACACAGACAACAAATTAGGAGCAAATCAGGACCTATGCCATGATCCATGATCTCATCTAGTGTGTGAAGGAGTGGGAGTGGACTCCCAAAGTGTTGGTCAGGGGACACAGTTTTAATGCACAAATGGTGCACACCCTCAGGGGTGGTGACATGGGTCTACAACACAGGGCATCTTCCCTTTGTCCTCCTAGGAGTTCCTCTTGTGTAAGGTGAACAGATGCTGGCCATGCACTGAGACGTCTCACCTGGTGTCTCCTGTCAGTGGGTAATAGGAGGCAGAATCTGTGGAGCTGGCGTTAGGGTAAGCACCCATGATGCAGTAGTTCAGACCAGTGAAGAAAGGCCTGCAGGTTGACCAGGACTGCCTGTTCTCACTCGGAGGTGGAATCACTTCTGTTTTGGTGGTGGAAACCAAGTGCAATGTGTTGCTGGAGAAGAAAAAGGAAACTTGATTTATCTTTAAGTCATAAAATGGAATGAACATTGCTAATTCTTGCCATGTGATGACCTCTTATCCTTTTCTTTACGTCCTATCTGTCTTATACCTTGTTGAAATGGCTGGCCTATTGGGAAAGAAATAATAGGAAGAGTACTGATAACTAAAAAGCTCTTGTGTTTCAAAAGCTGCACTGAGTTCATTATGTTGTTACCTGTAATCCTCCAAACAGGAGGCAGTGGCTTCTCAGCTTAGAGGAAATCCAGGCTCGGAATGCTACGGGACTGATTACTGGGACTGAACTTGGGTGTAGTTGTCACTTCAGACAGAGCTGGGGGGAGCAACCAGCTCTCTTTCCTCTGAAATTTCTCTATGGCATTTCTGGCTGTATTAAATACTGCTAAGACTCTCTCTTGTCACCTCTTTCTTTCCCTTCCAGCTCTCTGTTGTCTCCTTACAACTGAGAGAATTGGTTGCCTTTGCAATCCCCATTTCCTTTCAATGTGTTTCTCACTTAGCTGTGAATTGACGCCATCATGACTTTGAAAATGCTTTGATCAACATTTCCAGCTCCTTTCTTGTTCCTAAACCACAGGGATATCTTTAGACTGTATCTCCCAGAAGCATTCAATAGATGAATGCTGAGGATTTTAGTGGCCCTAATCTCTGAAGAAATTATGATACCTTTTCCCCATATATATAATTGAATAATGAGTAAACAAGCAAGTTCAACAATGACCAGATTCCTTCCAATGGTGCTTTCCTCTGTATTAGTTCCTTATCTTGGGGGTGCTCTAAGATCAAAGCTTAGCTGGTGGGCTGGACTGAAAGTGCTAGTATCAGCCTTCCTACAGAGTTAGCCCCTCTGGCTACTGCTTGGCTCCTAGGAATCAGGACCTTGGTTCTTCTACCTCTTGGGTCACTCATTCTTTTGGCTGATATGTCCCGTCTCTGTCCATAAGATTATGTGTTCCACATTTCTGCTGTACTAGCTCACATCATGAGATGGCAACCTGTAAACAGTGATGATTCTGAAATCTGTATTTGGAGTCCCTTTCCGATGAGATAATTCTAATTCCTCCCACCTCCAACCCCAGCAGCACAGCAAGTGCAACCCATCCAAAACTGCATCTGTCACCTTCCTCTGAAGCAGCACGCTCTCTTTAAAGTTTCTCTTTCAAGGAAGGATATCCCATTGCCTTTGTGTTTTGTTGTTGTTGTTTCTTATTCCTATGCTCAGTCAGTCACCAAGGGCTCACAGTACCGATTCCTAGAAAGTCCTAGAGCTTGCTGATCCACCATGCTGTCCTCTGCTCCTCAATCCCCATTTCATGACTGTAATAGACCCTAATCACTCTCCTTGTCGTCAAGTGCACCTCATTCCCACTCTGGCATTAGAGTGCTTCTTCAGAAAGACAATCCTGTCTTTCTTATGTTCCTCTTCAACCCTTTTTACCCTCAGAAGAATCCAGACTCCTTATGATTACTTCCAAGGCTGGCCCTGGTCTATGCCCTGCCTTGTCTCCACACATCATCTCTTATGCTCTCAGTGCACTTTCCCAGACTAAACCTCTTTTAGTTCCTGGAACCATACTTCCTCTCTCTTTCTATGGGACCCTCATTCTGTTATTTGTCAGGAGAATCCTGGCCCAGCCCTTAGTAAGTAAGATCGTATTTCCTTGTTTTTTGGCTGGCTCAGCTTATGTGATACATAATTTTATGGTGCTCTCCAACTCTCACTAATTTAATTTCTACTTCATGTATTTTTTCCCCATAAACACCACCTCCAGGAGGTCAGTGATTTCACTCAATATGCTTGTTACACATTAGGCAATCAAATACTATCATTGAATAAACAAATATGTGTTTTCAAAATGTAGAAAAATAAGGCAAATCAGTGGTTAGAGTTGTGATTGAGAGTGGAAATATCAATACGAGACTGCATCCCAAGATCATGGAATTAGAAATTTCATGTTTTACCTGCAGAGCCACCCACCACATAACAGTACATCTCTTAATACTTTTCCTGAGGCCAAATGTTAATTTACCAAGGACAGTTACCCTAGATGCAGTTTTTCCTCATTCTCAAAGCAAACAAATGACAGGAAATAACAACCTAATAACTGCTGGTTAGCCAGTAGATGTTAAGTCTCAATGCAGGAAGACACAAGGCGATCTAGCAAAATGTGAGGAGAGAGAAGGGTAATTATTTGCCGAGTCAAAGATAGATTTCAAAGTAAGTAATTCAGAATCTTTGCTCCCTCCTCCTTTCTCCTTTCACTGGATCCTGAATTATCTCAAAATAGCTGTCAAGCTTGGCCAAATCCTACAGATATATTTGTGCATCATCAATTCTGTCTTCCACTCTGACTAGGCAGACCTAGGAAGAGGCATTACCTGGCACTGAACAGCTTCACTGGCCCCTTTGGGGAAGGAATGATGAACTTCAGCTGCCCAGCCTTTAGGGCAACACGAGCTTCCAGGCCTGACTCATGGAAGAAGTTGGTGTTCATCTGGATGCCGCTCCTGGCAAAGTCCGGAATGATGATGCCCATGTTGGTCACAAACTCCACAGACACAGAGGGCTTCACCACCAGCTCGGCCTGCATCTGTAAGCCAGGAAGCAGCCTGTTCAGTTTTGTTACATACCTCCACCTCCTAACAGAGCACTCACCCATTCCCACCTCTGGGTAAACTCTCAGTTGAGGAGACATTACTGTAGCTCATTTGGAGGAAGAAAGCCAAATTCCCAATTCCCCAGAGCCAGACCTCACTAGCCAGGTCTAGGAGTTGACTGAGTTAAACTTAAGCATAACCCATTAAAAGATGACAAGAGCATTCATCCACAGGGAGAGAACAGCTGGCTTCTCGTCTTACTTCCATACCCCAACTGGAGCCAGTGAAGTGGTACATCTGGGGAGCCCTAAATTTTTTTTTTATAAAAATCAATGACATTACTACTGTGACAATGTATTTAGTCTTAACCAAGAGACACATACGTAGAATGTGCACAAGGAATCCATCCTGGAGTAGAAGTCCCACCTACGGAAATCCAAGGAGACTCACATGGCTTACGTCCAATTTCATTCCAGCCTTGGTTCCAGGAGTGATGACTCCAGAGGAGGATACTTGCAGTTGTAACCCGACTCCAGTGGGGAGCTCAAAGGCATTGTCCATGAAGATGTAGTGAAGGAACCAGTCATCCTTTGACCCTTTCATTATGGCCTCTGCAATCTGTGGACCCAGCAGGGGAAGGAAACCAAGAGTAAACCTCATCAAAGTGGGGTTTGCTAACTGTCATCTTCCATACATTGAGTAATGATTGCCTTTTATCTAGAAAGAAAGGGGCTAGCATAGTTTGATTAGCTGCTCAGTTTCATAAATACTAGTGATGACTGGTTTCAACAAGTCAAAGTACAAATCATTACATGAATAACATGCCATTTTCAACTGGTAATTCAGAATGTGCCTAAGAATATCATTAGGACAGTGAGCTTTATGAATGTTAAGCATCACGGATGACATGGCTTATTTCTGGTGTTTTTGACTTCATGTAAAAGAGTTTACATGAAGCATGTTACATTTTGGTGCAATCAAATTTTTTAAACCAAGGGGCTAATGAGATAATATATACTTTGTTTTTTTTTAATTAATTGCATTGCATTATGTGACACAGTGTTATGGGCACTGGGATTCCCCCTACCCCTCCCCGAATCCTCTCCCCATGGTGGATTTCTCCACTTTGCTGCATCACCACAGTTCAAATTCAGTTGAGGTTCTTTCATTGGAAGTATTTACCTAGCATAAAGTCCAGCATCTTATTATCCTAGTGGGTTCAACGATTTCTTGGTGAGACCATCTCTGGTCTGAAGGTAAAGCCAACAAAGTATCATCCCAATCAATTAAAAGCCCCAACATAAGATCAACAGCCATTTACAACCTTATGGCATTAATTGACATGGTATTGATTAACAAAATGTTAATAGGAAAATGCAGGTTCTTTACTACTTCCTGTGACTTCTTCATAGACATTTCAATTTTTGGTTTATATTCAACCGGATTTCATACACCTCAAAATGGCTCTAGATTACTATTCAGCTGTCTTGTCTGTTTTTATTTTATTATTTAGCTGTTTATAGTGTTGAAGCATGATTTTGCTGAACTTAGTTGTTTTTCGGGTGGTCTGATCTGGCTTATAACTCTAGCAAGACATGTGTCATCAGTTTAGGTACAGAACATTTTTTTTTGGAGGGGTGTGCAGAGAAATCCCCAATACCCCAGTGAGGCGTAACTAATCTTTGTGTCCTACCTAGTGAGGTATAAGTGAATCCACACTGACCCTTTTGTGTCTGATTCTAAGCTTTCCTTGTTGTTGTCTCTCCATTCTAGGATTTTTTGTTTGTATGTTTGTTCGATTGTTTTGAGGAGTTTCTGGAGTGATCCTAATGGTCATCGCGAGAGAGGGTGGGGACCCAGAGCTGGAGCTAGGTGAGGACCAGAGAAAGCTCGCCTCCCTAATCCCGAAGGACGGATAATATATACTTTCAAAAATAACATTTTTATAAAATATCTGAAGTCTGCTTTCTTATAATTAACATGTTTATTTATCTAATTAGAGCAATTTTTGTATATATTCTCCATTAATCAATTATCAAAAATAAAAGTATAGCCAGTTATATATTTACATAAAATTTACATACATGCATAAAATTTACATATTCTGTCCTAACTGCTATATCGTTTATATATTAAAAGGAACCTTCAGCAAAGGGAAAGGAAGGATGCAAGTGACATTGTTTTCTAGGTGATCAAAATGATGCTCTTACAAGAGAGTGCTAATTTATGAATACCTTAACTTTTTAAAGCTGCCAAAACCTACGGGCCAGTAATCATCATCTTTGAATGTTGAGTCAAGCCTGCCTCTTTGAAGCAGGAACTGTGATTTTCTCTGGTTTGTGGGTTGTGGGAGATTTAGGAAGAGCTCCAGCTATTCTCGTGGGCTCTCATGGGAGCAGTCCACTTACCATTTTGGGGATCCCCTGCAGAGTGCGAGCACCATTCAGCAACAGATTTCGTAGGAGCTGGAGGTCTTGGAATTTGACAAAGCCAAGCTCCTCTCCCAGGATACGCAGGTAAGCTCTGGCTTCGGGGACTTCTTTGGAGTTTAAGTCTCTGAGCAGCTTGTCAAAACTGTGCATAATTCCATTTACCATGTCCTGGGTTTTAAGAACAAAATGTCCAGTGAGCTGTCAGCACTGTCCTACACTTTCACACTTCTGAGGCGGGGCCTGAGCTTGGACACACTCCAGACAGGGACTCAGGAAAGATACAGAAATCAGGAACCTATCATCCCTTGGAGGACATTCCTCTGAACAGACATGAAAAAGACTTGGGATCTTATCAGGGACAGTGATGGTTTCAGAGTTGTCCTTAACTTGAAAAAATGTAGCCAAAGTTTGGAGAATCCTTGTTCTCCAGGGTTCCAAAATCCTTGGGTTCTCCTGTGTTAAAATGGCCCTGAACATACCTGCTTCCCTGTGTAGCGCTTCTCCTTCGACTAGAGAAAAGTGCTATGTGTTTTTGTGGCTGCTATATAAATGTGGCCAAAAGCTTAAAAACATTTGATCCTGGACAGAGATTTCCTTTGGGTGAGAATTCCCAGAGCAGTGCCCAGGTACAGGGAAAGCAAAGATGGATCGACAGACTTAAAATGGCTTCCAAGTCCACCAGCCTGCAGCAGAGGTCAATAAATTAGAAGATGAAGGGAGATCATCAGTGAAAATTGGAGGAAGTGATTGTCTTGCTTCTCAGATTCACACCGGCACCAAAGTCACCCGGGATCTTGTTGAACTGCAGCCTGGGGATTCAGTGGACCCTGGGAGAAGCCGGAGAATCTGCATTTCTGACAAAGTCTCCTACAGTGCTACCAGTCAATCTGCATTTTGATGGACAATGAGTTAAAGATCAAGAAACTCCCAATTGCATAACCCAGGTTCTAGTCCCTAAACAGAGGGGTGTCATTACCAACTCCAAAGCAGAACTTTGGAACCATTAGCTGGCACACTGATATAAGAGCCAAAGAAAGCAGTTGATAATAATGAAAATCTTAACTGAAAATTCCGATCTTCTTGTCCATCTCAGGTGCTGCACTTTGAAGTTTAAATGTTTATTTCATTTAACCTTTAAAACATTGTTTCCTTTAGTTGATCTTAGCCCTTATGGATTGAAAGTAGTTACCTGGGGATGCAGACACAGATACATCTGACATCTAGCAACACATGTAGGTATGCAAGGCTTGAAGACAATCAAGTTAGAATTGAAACCCAGGCTCCAGAATCCACACGCTGCATCATTGTGCTAGACTAGAGCCTGTCACGAGTCCAGTACCCTGGGACGCTTTCAGGAAATAATGGTCTCTATCCCCAGAGGACTGGTCCGTAATGTTTATTACTTCAGTCACATAGAACCTGTGTGACCTCCAGGCTTAGAACAGAACGTTTTGGCATTGAGATCTATTTTTCTTGCACATGGGAAGGGGTGGGATACTTAATAAAACATACCTGCTCACGTTTATCTTCCTTGGTGTAGCCAAAGTAGTCCCTCAAGACTTTGGAAAAAATATCAGGAACTCGACCATCAACCCAATACAAAGCCTTATTGACATTGTCTGGGAAAAATCCTTGCTTTCCAAAAAAAGCTTCTAGTGTGGGCTCAAATCCTTTTCCTTCTAAGCCAATCTGATTTAAAAAAAAAATCAGGCAAGAAAATGCCATTAGGATTATTTGTTGTTATATATTGGCCTCCTAAACCCCTCTTTATATCTACTTAATTAAACTAATATTAATCAATACCCAGGTGGGAGTTGAACTTAACATTTCACACAAGTTGTTTTATTTAAATCTTAGTATCTTAAAGGCAGAACTCATTTGCCTTTCTAGAAGTGGTAACAATTCAGAGAGGATAAATAATTGAACTGGGGATTCAGCATTGAGAGATTTGGTGTTTGAGCCAGATATGATTACCCACTTCACGGATATCCATGGATTTGGGGTTGCATAGTCTTTCTGAGTCATCTGCATTTCTATTATCACTTCAGATGACCCCTAGTGAGTGGAGAGGAAGGTGAGTGAGGAGGCAAAGCAAAAGATATTGAAGAGATGATGCCAACTGCCTGATGGTTCCTGCACCTACCCTGGTGGCTCGTGGCTCCCTTGACTTTCTCCTTACAGAGCCACTCAGAATGGACGAGAGAACCTGTGACTCCTCAGACTCATACATACCTCAAAGAGGTCAGCTGGAGCAAATCCAAAGACACTGAGGGTTGTTTTCAGCATGCTTTCTTTAGGAATGTAATTATCAGAATCGAATATCAGATTTGCTTCAATTTTGGCTGAGACTGGGTCAAATGATGGAAGGGAAACAGATTTGGAAAGTTGATAGTTCCGGGAAAATTTTCTGAAGTCCATGATACTTGGAAGCTGAGATCCTTCGAGAGCTGCTTTCACTAAATCTTTCAGACTGGATGGAAAGAAGAAACATATTTTGAGCTCCCACACCATGTGCCTTATCCACTGTCTCCTGTACTCTAAGTAAAAATTGATTTCCAGGTACAGCTTACATATGTGGATTTCATTTGCCCCAAATTTTAACGTAGGGTCTGCTGCAACTTGCCCTAGAAGTTGGTTGCACAAGAAAGCGCACTGCATGAAGGGAAGGCAGTGGCTCTACCTGAATTGAGGCAGATGGGGACAGGGCACAGAGGTAACGACTCTTACTTACTCTTGGATGTGTGGTTCTTCTGAGTTTAAGATATTGGCAAGGTGGGAAGCAACAAAGTTTTTCACTTGCTCATTCTTTTCCCCTGGGAGAAGTTGGGCAATTTGGTTAATAGCTGATTGGGATGCCTCCCTAATCAACATGAGGTAGGCAGCCAGTCGCTTGTCCGTTGGGGAAGTATAATCGAGCAAAGCCTGAAGAAGGATGCCCTGGACCTGCAGTCGAAAGAGGAGAGCATTAATATTGTCCTTTGGTTGGAACACAGAATATGTATGGCCAACACTGGAATGGCCTGCTAGCTCTCTCTGAGGTGTAGGTGTGGCTTGTCTCTACTGTGTCTTCAAGTGCTGGTCCTTCCTGTTCTTGCCAGTTTTCTCCGCAGCAACCAGCTCAAGGTAGTCTCCCAGAAGATTCCCATTAAAAAAAGTGAATTAAACTGCATCAAAACACAGATGCATTACGGTTTGCAGTAGCAGCAAGTTCAAATGTCCACATGCCTTGGCCATCAAGTCAATAGGCTTGTTGAATTTGCAACTAGAAAAGTTGAAATCGTGTTCTTATGACACTGTCCAAATCCTTGTTCATTTATATAAACATTCCCGTTTGGACCTCCTCTGTGGACTTTACCTCGTCTGTAATCTCCATCTTCCTCAGGGCCTGGATGGCAGCTTTCTGAATCAGCAGCGATTGCCTTGTGCTCTGGATGCATTTTAGGACTGCAGATTTGACTGTTGGTGTTACCTGCTCCATGGTTTTGCCCATATTTCCAATGGCCTGCATTGGAGGAAAAGAATTGGTCCAGGGTAAAGGATAAGTAAGGGATGTGCAGGAAAAGCATCTCAGAAATAATGCAGACGATTCAAAAGCCTGAAAGTACCCTCAGAATCAAGTAGGTGTGGTCTTCATCCCTGTCACACTCAGTACCAATCTGTTCCACCAGGTAATCAGCAATGTCCTGCAGGTCCTGGGTCACTCTGTGGGCTTCGTAATAGCTACAGGATAAGAGAGCAGAATTAGAACTCACCGTTAGGTTTGTCCTCAATCCACACTTGTTCTTGCTGATTACTTATTTCAAATCACTTCAAAAAAAACGATCAGTTGAAAAAGGCAAGGGGTGAGCAGTGAGGCTTGGCAGTGGAGGGAAGCGCACTGCAATCATACAGTTATGGGGCTGTCTCTGCTTCTAGGCAGAGCAGTACAGTATGAAGACTCACCTGTTGACCACTCGGCTCAGTGCATAAAAGGTAGCCCGGCTCTGCTGTTCCTTGGTCGTATTGAAGATCTCCTGTAGCCTGTGCTCTGAGGGATCTGGGATCAAGGCCAGTAGGTAGGTAGCAATGTCTATCAGCAGTGGGTTGCCTCCCTCACTTTTTAGCCACTGGAGAATGTGAGTGTAACACTGGGGCTGTCCGCACTGAACCAAGGCTTGCAACGTGATGGGGCTGAGAAGAGAAACAGAGAGATGTGTAGAACCCATGGTGTGTTTTCCATTTGGACTGCCCCATTTCCCTCATTCTCCTTCCAAATGAAGCCACCTTTTAAGCTCCAACTCAGAGCCTGAGGACCTCGAGTCTTTCCCTGCGAGTCGTGCTCCCTGTTGAAGTACCACTGAGAAAGGTTTGACATAGGACCCCTGGACTTGAAGCCAGAGAAGTCAGTTATGCTTTGCTTCAGGCACAAAAGGTGCCTGGAAAACACTGGCCTTCCCAGCACTTTGAGCCAATGCCTTCACATGTAGAGAATTATATCTGATTTCCTGAGTTCTCTCTTCAGGGTCCTATAAGCTGCCAGAGGGTGCAGATTACTTATTCTCTCTGACTTTACAGCATACACACAACAGAACCAGGACTCTGAAGATGCCCATCAAATGTGGGGACAATTTACCTTGTAATGTAATATCTACATGCTTGCATAGAATGCAGTGTATGTATTGCCTATGGAATTCAAAGCACTGTATCTAGCAAACATTAACCAATTGACCAATTGATTAGCTCTGTTGATATTTAAATGGTTGAAGATTTGACCAGCTGCCCCAGGCTGTATGATAGACGGAGCTGTAAGCCTTAAAGACATACCTGGATACCCGGACCAGCTGTGGCAAGAGGGAGGCGACTGCCTCGCTGCTGAGGCCTCTCAGCTCAGTAACAAGCTTATTGAAGAACTTTGCTCTCTGGGCATTCTGCTCAGAAATGGACAGCTTTCTCAGTTCCTGGAGAGTCTTGAGCACAGCCTCAGCCTGCTTTGGTGGTGATGTGGCTTTGGTATTCTCAAAGGCCAGACCCACCCTCTGTGTGCCTGGAAGAAGGAAGGTGTCAAAGGAATTCTCACTTCTGTAGTGAAACTGGAAATTGGGGAGATATCAGCAATGGAGAGAAGAGAATTATCCTGCATTCAGCGCCTCATAGATTCCTGGCTTTGTGCCAGGTGACTGACCTGTTTTCACTGACTCATCTCAACATACCCACCCGCCACCGAGGATCGATGCTGTTCCCTAGTTTGGTCACTGAGACACAGAGATGAGCAGCTTGCCTTTCCCAAGGAGCCTCTGCGTCAAGGAGGCACAGGTGGGACTGAATCCAGGTCTGTTGGAATCTAGCTTTGGATTACCCTTTGCTGGAAATATCTGGAGGGGAGAGGCTGAGGGGACGTAGTCACAGCTGAGGTAGGACATTTTGGCACTCACCCGCTATTTCTTCTAACTGGATCTACCAGCAGCTCATGGGGAAGGGAGACCTTTCCAGGCAGAGGGGTAAATGTGAGCTTGGAAGTGGTGTGTAACAGGCCCCCAGTTTGTGCTACCTTTATTGTCCTAGGACCTTGAGGGTCTCACTAAGCTTCTCTGTGTAATATTGCCTTCTGTAGGATGGGTACAAAAGTACATGTCTCACACTGCAGGTTGACTATGGACAAGGAAATCAGTGAGGTATTATAAAAAGAAAGGGTTTTGAGGGCCCAGTGTGGTAACCTAGTGGCTAGGGTCCCTGCCTTGCAGGTGCTGAGATCCCATGTGGGCACTGGTTCATATCCCGGCTGCTCCACTTCTTTCCCAATGCCCTGTCTGTGGCCTGGGAAGGCAGTGGATAATGGCCCAGTGCTTTGGGACCCAGCAGCCATGACTCAGAGGACCCTCCTGGCTCCTGGCTTTGGATTGGCTCAGCTTTGGCCATGGCGACCACTTAGGGAGTGAATCAGAGGATGGAAGATCTTTCTTTCTCTCCTTCTCTCTGTAAATCTAACTTTCCAATAAAAAATTAAATCTTTGTTAAAAGTTTTGATAGGCTTCAGTACAATGTACTGTTGGGTTAGGGTTAGACTGGACATCTCTAATGATCAAACCTGGGATCACTATCTGGCTGGGTCCTGAAGATCCTCTCTCACCTGCCCTCTCTCTATAGGGTATATGAGAAACTCAGTTCACTTGAAGTGCTGTTTAACAGTTGCAAGAATCCTTTATCCCACTGCCCTTTGACATTCTGGAAGGAATGTGCTTTCTCACCAGGGGTGAGTCCATGCCAGAATGCCAGAGTCCACTGTGCTCATTAGTCAGCAGACATTTCTAGGGCCCATAAAAGAGTGAAGCCACCACTGACATGTCTGGAACAGACTTCCCAGCATCCAGATGGACAAAGAGTCTTACCTTCAATAAAGATGCGGTTGTTGATCTTAGGTATGTCTTCAAGTTTCAAAGACTGTGTAATATGCACCATCATCCCATACTTATTCCTGGTTAAAAAAAGGTGCACCTTGTATCATGAATGGCCTGATTTCTGGAACTTTCTTTTCTTTCCATCTAGAATGTTTTCTTCATCTCTACTTCTCCCCAAATCCTGTCTACCTTTTGAAGCATGTTTAAATTCAGTCATCCTTGATTCCCTGATGGATAATACTCACTTCCTCCTGATCATACTGGTTGTCTTTCCATCAGGACAAGTGTATCTTATACCCTTCTCCCAGTCTGGAGGGCCAAAGAGTTGGGGTTGACTCTGGGCCTCAATTCTTTTGTATCTCTGATAGCACAACACACAGAATATGGTAATGACTAAATGATTGTCAGTTTTCAAGGTAAATTTTGATATACAAGTGTTTGGTTAAAACTGCAAATCCTTCCCAAAGCCTTTCTTAACCGGGCTGCCCTGCAATGAGGTGTAGAGCTTTTCTGGATCTACAGCCCTTAAAATCTGAATCCAAGATAATCTTTCATTGCTTTTAATTTGGCTTGCATGTCTAAGGGTTTTCCTGCCTTATTGCCCATTAGCTTGAAAATGGGTGAAAGGATGGTCTCTGCTTTGTATCCGTCCATAGCTCCCTTTTAGCCATAGCCCAGTCTACAATGGGACATAGGAGAAGACCATATGGACCCATCGCATAACAAATCAGGGGTCCAACAACCCAACCGATGACTTACTTGTAGGAGAAAGGCAGAAACAGGTGCTGCTCCTTACAGGTGGCTTCTGACACATGCTTGCCCCTGGCATCCAGGGTGTACTGGCAGGACTGGTTGCTGCTGATCAGAGTTGACAAGGGGCGGGCCTGTGAATGAATTTAGAGAACAGAGTGTTGTTTAGAGTGTTGTTGATATCAAGTCTTCTGTCTTGGGCATTTGCCCTCAAGGTAGAAAGAAAGTTCACCACCAGATAAATTCAGTAAAAAGAGACAGGCACTTGGCATTTACGTAAGGCCTTGCATCCTACACACACCCATCCTGTCATACATAGTACCTTGCACAATCGACTGTTAGGTTTTCTTTGCCTATGAGTCTTCCATATGCATACCCCCTTTATTTTTTAAGGTAATGCTTCACTTTCAGCTTTTCCCCATGAGTTATGTAAAAAATACTCTCCCCTTCTTGGTCAGGCCTAGCATTGCTAGTCTGCATAATTCAGTTTATCAATGTATTGGGTACCAGAAGGACTGTCTGTTATTGGCATGTACGTATCTATTATTATTCCTGCATTAACCTGGAAGCTTCCCCAGAGGCAGGTCCATGTTTCGTCTCTCACTATCTTTCCTTGGTATGTCTTAGAGTGGGAGAGAGTATACAACAGGTGATCAGAAAAGACAACTAAGCCAGAGCTGACCATGGCTCCTGCTCTCAGGATTCCTGTGTTTGATCCCAAGGACAATGACCAGGAATGCTATAAGCCCAGCAGTGATTGTGCAAATCTTTCATGTTTACTGAGACAAACTGTAACTCATGGCCAGAAGGTAGTACAAAAGGTTAGGCAGGCTCATGTGATGTGGTGCAATGGTGACCTCAGTTAATAGCAGAGAAGGTCAGTATTGAGGGGGTGGGTCAGCCAGGGGGCCAGGGGGCCAGGGGGCCAAGGGGCCAAGGGGCCAAGGGGCCAGGCTTTGGTCAAGGTTATATTTGGGATTGAAGGGTCGGAAAGCTGGAACACTGGTGGTCATGGTGCTTCATGGAATGAGACAGAGGGAAAGGGAACACAGGTCCTGGGGCTTTTTGGGTGGGCTAAGGACAACCAGTATTTGCACAGGAAGGAATGGCAGGTGGCTTTGTCCTCTTAGGGTAAAGCATTACTCTCAAGTGACAGCAAGTGGTTTCATACCAAGACACATGGGCAGGAGGAAATACAGGGTTCTGGGAAGGCAATCGTGTGTCTGACTTTAATTCTGGATGAGTTAATCATAGGTCTCACAGTCATAGACACCTGCCCGTGTTTTGTCCTCAGTAGCCTGCCCAAAGGTCTACATAAATAATGGGCATGGAGGACTCTACTAGCTGGAACATTCCAGGATCAGTTTGCTCGTGTGCAACTCACCATGCCTTTGATGAGGGCCAGGGGGCTGACACCGGAGCTCACGGGCTGGAAGCCCTCACACTGCTGAAGGTTCCTCTCTGTGGACATCTCAGTCACCACATTTCCTTTCTTTGTCTTCACAGTAACGTGGGTGGAGCAGTTTCCATACACGGTATCCTGTGGGGATGGAAGATACAGTAGGGTACATCTAGTGTGGGCAGACAGTCTTAGGTCTTGTGGGGTGGGTGCCCAGGGAAGGATCCTGGTGGGGCAGGGGGAGGTGGAAAGAATAAGAATCGGGAAGGACTTTCCTTCCAGTCTGCAGGTGGCATTGCTGGTGCTTGGCCAGGCAGAGCTGGGAGAGAGAAAACCAGTTTAAGGATTGCCCTGAGGGGAGGTCTGTGTGGAACATATCTCTGTGTTCTCCCAGTAGTCAGTAGTGTAGAAGCTGGAACAGAGGCCTCAGACAGCCTCACAGGGCTACAGGAAATGGGTGTCTCTTGATAGGAGCCTAAACGTCAGAGCACAGGCTAACAACATATTCCATTGTTTTTGGTAGTTAAAGCTCCATACAGGCTTAGGCAGATGTTGTGGTGCAATAGGTTAAGCCACCGCTAGGGAACACGTGCAGGAGTGCCCGTTGGAGCCCTGGCTCCTCTGTGCTTGTGACTCGGCTTCCTGGTAATGCACCTGAGCATCAGCAAATAATGGCCAAAGCACTCCAGTCCCTGCCAGTCAAGTAGGAGGTCAGGATGGAGTTCTAGACTGCTGGTTCTAGGCCGGCCTCACCCTGGCTATCATAGGCATTCGGGGAAGGAATCCACAGGTGGAAGTTTCCGTTTATGTCTCTCCCTCTGTCTGACTTTCAAGTAAATAAAACCCATACGGGCTTTGCTCTGTTATGCTGAGCAAAGAGAATAGATTCAAACAGAGGCAAGGCGGGGTGGTCAGGAGTCCCCAGTAACTGCTTTAAAGTTAGACTCAGCCTGAGTGGTCTGCTTGGAACTGCAAGACCAGGGAGAGGAGGAAGGACCCCTGGGCACTGCTGTTCCCTACCACTAGAGGCAGGTGGGGCAGTAGTGGGGCAGTAGTGGGGCAGTAGTGGGGCCAGCCATCCACTCAGCAGCCCAGGGGCTGGGCTCAAGCACACAAAGGTGAGGTTCAAGGGTGCTGTCACTGGTTTTCTAAATTCTCACCAGAAACAACTCTTGCGTGTCCATGTTTGTCTCCAGGGGGGCTAGGAGGGCAGAGATGATACCCCTCTTGATGTTCAGGATGTGCTTGGGCTCATCAGCCTCCGGGTAAAGGGACACTTGCTTCCCCTCCACAGCAGTCAGCCTGAGCTCGTGCCTGTCCCAGGGAGAGAGAGGGCCTGGTCACAGCAAGGGCCTGCCTTTGTCCCGTGGGAACACAGCAGGCACCTGAGAAGGCTCATTTCACGCCTCTCTTCTCGCGTGGACGTTTTCCCAATGAGCATGTCTGGTGTAGCTGTTAGCATTCTTTCACTTCTTGCCCCGCACCTCTGCCACACACACCTGTCTCTTCCACACTCCCCATTTGGACAGCCTCATCAGTATGTTTCTGCCTTCTCTGCATTCAAACAACCTCATGCAGATGTGGGCAGGCGCAACTGCAGTCACAGGAAGCTTTAATCCTTGTTTTATTTTGTGTTCTTTTCCCTCCATTTCCCTTTTTCTTTCACTTTATTATACTCTACAAAGATTCAGAGTCACTTGGTATAGCTCTAACACATTGTGACAGCCAAATGATACTCCATTCTATAGCTAGATATAATTTCTTAAACATGGCCCCATTTGGTGCAAACACTTTCTTTCTGGACGTATGTTGGTTTTGCTGCACAAACGATACTAAACTAAGCATCCTTATTCATTGATCTCCACATACAATTGCTTTGGTTTTGTAGGCTGGGGTCTAAGAGCTAAGGGAATACATATTTTTAACTAGAACAGACAGTGCCTGACGGCTCTCACTTCCAGTGGCAGGTGCAGGGAGATACTGCTCCTCACAGGCCTGCCAGTGACGGGCGCCATTGCCATTCCAGACTCGTGCAACCTGATGGGCATAAGATGCTCAAGTTCCCCTTGTTACCTTAGCTCACGTTTCCTACTAGTGAATTTCAGCTGCTCTTCATACATTGGATATCAACTCTGTATTGTCTCGGGCCATTTGGAAGCTCATGTAGACTCTAAAGAGTTTCTCTTGGGGACAATTTGGGATTTCGAGGGCCTGGTTACACCTGCTCTAGTTAAATCAGAAGGAGGAGAAGGAACCCAGGTTCATGTGCTTCAGCCTCCCACAACTCTGCAGGTTCAGGAAGTCCCAGGTACAGTGAGGTGGGCCTGGATACACCTTCCTGGTCAGGAGCTAGTTGTTGTCTTTGTTCAGAGAAGAGTAAGGATGGAGAAAAGGTGCAGCCTCCTCTGGCCCCCAGACTCGCTCATACGCACCTCAGTCTCACGTGAAATAATGTGGGAGGTCTCAGCATCTATGCCCATTTCTGAGTGTGAGGCTTTAGCAAATGAAAAATGCAAGGATGGAGTCATGGAGTGTCTTGATGTCACCAAACCACGCCTGGGCACTGAGTGTATTTAACAAGTGCTGTGACACAGTGTGCTGATCAGTCAGGAGAGATGCCTGCTAGACATGGCACTGGCCTCAGACTGCAGAGGCTGGATACCAGCTCTGGGTAGGGCAGCAGCTAAGGCCTGGGCTCCCCTTTGCCCCACAATGAGCAGACAGCTAGGCCACATAGTGGCACCAGGCCAAAGTGCTGCTGGCACACACACACACTGGAGACCACTGGGCACCAGTCTTGGTTAACTCAATCCATAAACAAGAACTCAGCTGTTGAAACAAACCATCTCAGCTTCACTGTCTCAAGGGTTTTAAAGCATGAGATCTTTTAGAGTCACAATTGAATGATGATTAGGGCATCTGACCAGGGGAGGGCCCCAAACTGCCCTGTTTGTCATGATTGTGAGAGCCCTGGGTTCCCTGGTTACTGGTGGATTCCGAATGCAAATGCTTATGTTCACACACATGCCGGAGATGCATGCACCCAATGCACACACCCCTCAGTGGCCATGCTCACACACAAGGGCAGGCACACATGTAATAACCCAGGAACACACATGCCTGAGGTGAACACAGACCTGAGGAACATGGCCTTGCCCAAGCACACACACACACACGTATGCCTGAGAGGAGCACACCCACCTACCGCAGAGGACATGTACACACACATGTACACACATGCATACTACCTGGGATGAGCACACGCATGGTACATGCATGTCTGAGATGAACACACAGAGAAACCTCAGTGGACACATGCACACAGGTGCACACATGCCTGTCGACACACAAGTGCATGATGAGGTGAACACAGTCAAACCCAACAGAGACGCACACAGAGACATGCACACACCTTCCTGCCTGAGAGGAGCACACGCAAGCCCCCGCCACGCATGCACCTGCACTTCCTCTACACGCTCATGCCCAGCACAGGCGGGATGCCCAGCCGGATTGGACACACAGGGCCGTGCCTCACCTGGCCATGGCTGCAGCAAACTCCTCAGAGGTCTTCGTCTTCCTCAGCAGGGCCTTGCCCTCAGGACTGAAGGCATACACCTCTCGCAGCATGCACTGGCTCGTCCTCAGGATGAAGCTGCAGAGGTGGGGCACCTCCAGCTCGACCTGAGAATGCAGGCAGCATGCTGAGCGTCTCCCTCAAGAATGCCAGGCGCCCCAGCCGGCCCAGGGCTTCCTTGGGTCAGGACACCCAGGGAAGTGCCGAGCCCTGACGTTGCATGCTCGTCGCCAGCGGCCACGGGTCATCCTCGCAGCAACTAGGACCTGGTCCTGGTCTCGCGCAGGGTTAGGTGTTACTTAAGCTAGCCTCTATGCATGGTTAGAATTCTGACCTCCTGTTGGCTCTCCGTTTTCTCACTTTATAAGAGGCTCAGTCTGTTAGAAGCAGCACAGGGAAGCAGTTTAGGAGAAAAGAGGGGAAGCATGAGCGTCATCGTTGGTCTCAGTGACAGCTGCTCCTTGACGTCACCAAAGCAACCCTGTCCCTGTCCAGTAGTGCCTGCTCATCTCTTTTCCATTTTGCCATTTTCCCTTACCGTGGGAGCCTCTCATGCAGCTGGCATGTCAGACATGCACAGAGGAGCAGCTGCCACGGCAGCAGTGACCTGCAGCTGCGCTGTCCGGCACGGGCGCCTTCGCCACGGCTCTGGGTCCCACAAATGAGAAACTGAGTCTTCACTCTAAGTCAGTTGAAACTGCTGCATGTGGCCAGTGCCTGCTGTGTTTGACAGCCCAGCCCAGGGTGCCAGGGCCCCACGGAGAGGAGGGTGCCCGCTCAGCGCTACTTCTCCCCATCTGACGGCAGCCCTGGGCTCTGTTTCCTGCCTGCCTATGAGGACAGCGGAATGCAGTCTCTGTAACAAGTGAGGTTCTATTTTAGAACAGATTGCTGCATGTTTCAATTTCTTGTTTCCACTTGTTCTTAGTAACAGATCCAGTTTGATTATAACAACCACGTGCTTTCCTGAGATGCCCACTTCCTGTAGCTCACCCACCACTACCTTCTCTCCTGTGCTTATCTGAAGTGCCTCACTGCTGATAACCTAGACCATGATGTCGAACTTTGCAGCGGTGCAGCTGCCTTACAGACCTCAGGAGGATCCCAACGCGGAGATGCCAGCAAGCTGAGAGAATGCCAGGGGCTCCAGGCTCCCAGAGTTCCCTTCCCCCAGGCCCCATACCTTGCAGTTGATCCTGGTGGTGCTTCTTGAATCTGCAGTCCCGGGGACCCCACTGGAACTCTCCACCTCATAGTTGTAGAGGTACTTCCGGAAGTGCTTGAATCGAGTGGCATCTTCTGCAATGAGGGGAAACGTGTGAGCCACAGAAGTCACATGGCCACGTCTCACTGAGTCCGTGCGCAGAGGGGCACTGCGAAAGGACCTTAAGTGATTTGAACAGGGCAATGCTCAAGCTCGGGTTGAGGCATAGGGAGGGTGGTGTTAAATAAACTATTTGGGAGCAGAAAGTCTATAGAACAAGAGCCTTTGGAAAAATAACATTTGGTGGCATTACACAAAGAGATGTATTGCTTTTACAGCTTGAAAACCCCATTTTATAATTCCTTTTACATTCCACAAAACACCTGAGACATAGTTTACTAATCCCTACTGGCACCTGGATAACTTCAGGGACGTGCTCCCCCGTCCCACCCTCCGCCCCCGCCATAAGGATTTTCTGGAGGATTCCACCTGCTTGAGAGGACTTCTTTGAATCAATTTGAAGGAATATCTGGGTCCGGAGCCTAATTGCAGTGATAGCAGATGCCCACCAGGTGGCGATGCTGCACCACCAGAGCTTTCCGGAGCGCTTCAGCCCACACCTGGTGGTTGGGTGCTAGCGCCCAGGTCCGCTCTTTTGACCCCAAGGGGTCAGGTAAATAGAGGAGGCGGGGGTCTGGATTTCTGCACAAAGGTTAAAGTCAGCATTTCGTCACCCCCACACTCTAAATCAATGATTAGTCGCTGATAAGTACGACAGTGCTGTCCCAGAAGTGTCCATGGACCAACGGTGACAGCCCCTTCCCCACCCACGCCGGGCTCGGTTTCGAGCATGGCAAGGAAGGCAGTCTCGGTGCCTTGGCGGTGGCAGACAAGCGCCCACGACCTTCCCAGGATCCGGGCCTCTAAGTGTCTCGGCAGAACCGTGGCCGGTGTCCTTTACGCCCGGGAGGGTCCTTACTTGAGCAGCTCGGGCTGACGCCTTCCAGCACTTCGTCCTCTGTAAGAAAAGGAGAAAGAATGCTGGGCTGGCAGCAAGCTTCCCAGGGAGCCCGTTCCCCGCCTTGCAGGGCCACTGCCCAGGTCCTGTCTTTACAGAGAGCAGCAGGCTCCGGGACACCCACTGTGGCCAGGCTCCGCTGCCCCATCCCAGCCCCGGTGCACCTGCTGCCGCCCCTGTCCCATCCAGATGCCCAGGGCCAAGGCCGGGGGTGACAGCACACCCGCCCCAGAGCCCCTCTCGCACTTACGGGCCCGGCCGATGGCAGCGGTCAGCAGCAGCAGCAGCAGCGGCAGCGTGGGCCTGGGCGCACCCATGGCTGACGGTGGGCGCAGCTCGGTGCCTGCGCGGGGCCTCCTGGCCGCTGCCGGGCTGGCTCCTGCTCCTCGGGGAAGCACTCGCGCAAGCCCGGGTGGGAATGTGCGGCCGGCACCCGTGCTGCCTTTATAGAAGGCCCTGCCTCCAGATCGTTGCAAAAGGTGCAAAGGGCACGCGGCCGGGCCTGTTTACTTTTCCACCAAGGCTAACTGGACACTGAGGAGGGGCCAGGCAGGGGGCTCCCCGCAGTCCCCGCCGCAGCCCTTCGGGGCCTTTTGGACCCTCCATTCCCTTCGGGATCTCACACCGAACTTAGGGACCAGCCCACCCCTCTTTTAGCTCTAATGGGAGCCGCATGTGGAGAGTCCTTCCCAAAGGCTGGGCCAGGACATTTTTGGCTGTGTCCGCCATGCTGGTTGGACAGCACCTGGTCCTGAGCGGTGCTTGTGGTTGGGGAAATTTGCACACTGGGGATGTTGGGCAGGGGTGACCTGGAGGGCGTCTGGCCAGAGACCACCAGGACCCTGGGATGGGCCATGCTGACTACACTGGTTCACTACTTGGGCCCAGGTGCCCGCGGCCTACGAAGGCCCACAGAGAGCCCTCTCCTTGGGAACCGTCTTCTCGGGAAACCGAAGAGAGTTTGCCGTAGGGCAAAAGGACCTGCACGCTCCCAAGACCCAAAGGCCAGAGGCAACGGGAGGCAGGCATGAGGGGCTGGACACAGCCTGCCTTCCTGGGCCTCCTTGCCCAAGGAAACACTGGGGAGGCCTCGCTTCCCTGCTGGGTGGCAGAGGTAAGATGGCGTCAGGGGGACATTTCAGCCACCAGGGATAAAGGGTCCCCTACGGGGAAAGTCTGAGGACACCTGCTGGGACCACAGTTCTCCTGGCTTTGGCTTAGGGAGCAGGGATGTGTACACAGGAAGCAGGCTTGAAGGGGGCAGAAGAGCACTGATCTTGCAGATTGAATGCTGGGGGAGCTGAGGCACCTGTTGTAGAAGCCAGTACTTAGGGCTACAGCTCATCCATTTTGGTTGATTTGCAACATGCCTGTGGCACAATGTTGTCTGGATTTTCTGGTGGGCTGACCGATGGTTCCAGAAGGATCAGATTGGAAACTGTTGCTGTGTACAGGAAATCTCTGCTCCCTTGGTGGAGACTCACACCATGGGGTTTGTTCTCTTGCCCAGCCCCTGTCTCCATGCACCAGCCCTGGGCAGCTAAACTCACCCCAGGCAGCAGTCACTCCGCGTGCACAGCGTGTCCATGCTGAAAGGTGGGCACCGCAGAGGTCTCAGCTCAAGGCTGTGCGTGCCTCTGCCAGTGAATAATGAGGAGTTAGAAAATACTGAAGACCGTGGGGCCCCACCTCTTGGGGAATTTTACTTGAATTATTTCTGTGGCCTGATTGTCACAGCACTGGCTGCTGTCAGTGTTTAAGGGAGTGGTCCCACTGCCATGCACAGCCCCTGTAGGCACAGTGGCAAAGGATATTTAGAAGCAAAGTCACCCAAGAGGATGGCAGGGAGGAATTCAGGCTTTCTCTCCTGGATGCCCGAAGCAGCATTGTCCCCCAGTTGGGAGCCAGAGGCAGTGCCACTTCTACTAGTTGGAAATTAAAATGAATCCAGTAACTCGGACACAGGAAGAAAATGTGGATGTTTGGCTGCCCCTCATCTGACTGCCACCATTTCTTTCTTTCTTTATTGTGTTTTTAAAGTTTTACATATTTTTATTGGAAAGGCAGGCTTTAGAGAGAAGAACACAGGAAGATCTGTTTGCTAGCTCACTCCCCAAGTGACTGCAACAGCTGGAGTTGAGCTGATTTGAAGCAAGGAGCTCTTCCAGGCCTCCCGTGTGGGTGCAGAGTTCCAAGGCTTTGGGCCATCCTCTACTGCTTTTTCAGGCCACAGGCAGGGCGCTGGATGGAAGTGGAGCAGTCGGGACTTGAATCAGAGCCCATATGGGATCCCAGCGCACGCAAGTGAGAACTACGTATCATGCTGGGTTTGACTGCCAGCATTTCTAAAAAGCAGACCTGGCAGCACTGGGCTCAGTGTCCCTTTCTTTCCTGCTGGCCTCGGAGTCTCCCGTGGGTTCTGTTAGGAATTACACTAGATACCGGAAGTGCGCAGTCGCGGGTGACTGATACTAGTCGTTAGCTGTGTGTTCAAGTGGAAGGTTCATGGAAAATGCACATTGGGGGAAAAATCACATGTGTCTCACAGTTTACTTGTACCCAAGTCGATCTATCTTTGAATTTCACTTCCTGCAAATTTTTGAAGTCTTTTGTATGTACAGGGACCTGTTTGAGTGAATTGATCACAGCCTGTGAATAAACAGACTGACAGAACACACATAGGAAATGCAATCCAAGGAAAGGAAGCAGGAGGGAAACGGGGCTTTGGGGAGCTGTGACTGAGTGCTTACTTGGTTGTGAAGATCCATCAGCTTCCAGGGTGTGTGGAATGGAGACCCTGCAAGTGGAGTTCTCCCCAGGCAGGCAGCCAGATGACCCATAAGTCCTGGTGGCATGCAGATTAAACTCAGTCACTAGGACTTATCAGCTCATGAAAGCAAAGTCCTCCTGTCTCACTCTAAGTAGTCAGAAGGCTCTGGGTGACCATTAGGAATCCACCTGACCAGCGGAATTTCAAGGAATTAGATAAGGCTGAACGGCCCAGTGACATCCATCTTGCCTACTCAGGATCCAAGCCAAAGTCAGGCAGGAGTAGAAGCTGTTAGGTAAGGCTCCCATCATCCCAGCATTCGGAGTGGAGTGCAGCTGACACAGAGAAGTCATAATTGCCAAATATGAATGAATGAATCTGTGCCATTAAGTCCTACTCCACTGTTTCCAGGGTATCCGTGATGCTTAATACATATTGCTAATGGCAGACAGAAAGGAAAAACAGCAGGGTACAAATTATTGCGAGCTATGATGTTCAAGAAAACTCATCTGGGAAATAGAGACCAATATGGACGATGATTGATTTAGCCCATCTCTTTCCTGCCTCTGACAGTATTCTAATTGCAGATGATGCCCAGAAGCTGAAAAGTAACCTTCAAGAATTGTAGCTAACCCAGGTCCATTGTGGTCTGTGGGTATTGATAAGGAGCATGCACACACACACACACACACACACACACACATTCACACACATGAAATACAACAACATGTACATGTAAGTGAGTGGTTCAGGTGGGACATGGTCAGATGGGCCAGTGTCAGATGCGGGCATTACAGGTGGATAACTGATTTCATGAGAGGAAGGAAAAAGGAAACGTTCCTCCCTTGCCATTCTTCTAAGCCAGAGATTAAGATTAGAGTGTTGAGCAGCCGTTCTTAGTGGGGTGAGAAGTCAGGAGTCAGCAGGGTTCAATGTGCAGTGAGATCCCATGTGTATGAATGATTGCTGCCTTGACCTGTACATCCTGGTATTCTACCCTCCCGTCATGGTTCTGGCCCCACCTCCTGCGAAAAGCCCACGTTTGGGGGCAGTCAGGTAGACTTCATGGTCTCTGCCCCTAGCTGTGGGTCACTTTCTACGTAGAATGAATCGTAATGGGGGCTTCATGCACACTATCTGTTGTTCTCCTAAGTTTGTTTTTACATATATATATATATATGTGTATATATTTGGTAGCATTCTTTTTTCATATATTATGTATTTTCTTGTCCCCCAGAGAAGCTTGGAAGGCAAGAATCGTGTGAAGTTTGTACTTTGAACCCCTTCTTTCTCTCTCCCTAATACCTCTGGGAGTAGATCATTGGAAAGGAGTAAATACCATGATTACAATGTAATGTGGTCCTGGTAAGGTGGTTTTCTTGTAGATATATGTGATTTATTTGATTCTTTCTTGAATTCTTATTTTTTCATTTATTTAATGTATTTAATAGGCAAAGGGGTAGGGAGAGAGAGATTTTGCATCTACTGGTTTACTCCTCAAATGCCCCCCGATCAGCCAGGGTCAGGCCAAACTGAAGTGAGGAGCCAGGAATTCAATCTTTGTATCCCATACAGGTGCGAGGAATTCGCCTACTTGGGCCATTGCCTCTCTTTCCCACAGTGTCAGTTGGCAGGAAGATGGAATGGGAAGTAGAGCTAGAACTTGAACCCGGGACTCTGACATGTGGGCATGCCAAGTGGTGTCCTAACTGCTTCACCAAAGCCATAGCCCTCGTTGTATTCTTGAGTGAACTTAGAACACGTGGTGGACTTGACACTGAAGGAGAGGGATGTGGGGTCTATGACTGAGGATCATGGGCAGTCTATGAGATCCTGCAGGTCAGTGTTTATCGGTCTGATACGAGGACATGAGCTCCAACATCCTTCCGCCCTGACCACTATGACTCTGTGGAAACTTTGGGACTTAAGCAAACATGTCAGTGACACTTGGCTCCAACCTCATGGTGGCTGGGAGCTGTGTTGGGGATCTAGACTCATGGGGCAGGATGGAGTCTTGGGGAGTCTGCCTCACCTTTAGCTGCACTCATACTGCTAGGGAGGCCCAACCTGTCCCCTTGCTGCAAAGATTTTGAAAGCAGGAGAAGCCATGCCCTCCAGGGACACTGAGGACAAGAAATCACAACTCCCAGTGAGTTCTAGCTTTAGCCTTCATCATGACCTTGACTTCAGATAAGCTGCCTTAGATATATCACTTGGAGTGTCCTTAGGGAACCTTTTTTTGTGGCTTTCCCAGCTGTTGTTTTCTTTTTTGAACAGTTTTCTTTCTGTTCTCATGAGAGTAAGGATTCAATAGCTTTGTCTTAAAAAGCTATTTTTAGCTTTTTTATCTGACCTGAGGACAGATGGCCAATGGCTCCTAGCCCACCTCCAAGTTGCTTCTAGTCTTTAGGGTACCTTGAGTGCAGCCCTGGGAGAACTAACAGAAAAGAACATAAAATACACACCACAGTTGATTGGAAATGGCTGTAAAGTACCCCAGGTGGGCACTGCACAGTTAGACTGTCTTGATCCAGCGTGACTCTCGGG